TGGGAGGGTGACAAGCTCAAAAATGTAATTTACCGTTCTAAAATTAAATCTTGAATAAAAACACTCGTGTTCAAGTTTTGTAGTCAGAAAAATATAAATAAATTTATTGTAATTTTAGGTTTTAAGACTTTGTTTGTTTGATGTGGATTTTCATTAATATGTGTTTTAATAAAAAAGTAAATGAAAATTACTTTTTTTTTAAAGAATATTTTATTCTACAAATGAATGTTTATTTGGCAGAAAGTAACATAAAAAAGTTACGTATAATATAATTTTTTCCTTTTGCCGTGCCACATTTTTTTTGTGGTATCACTGTACTCACTCGCCATAGTCCAAGACCGAAGTTACTTCGTTAGTTAGGTAGTTCTTATATGTAATACATAAAAAATCTAAAACTATATAGTTTTTTATTTAGTACGTGACTATGTCTTAATAAATTTACAAAACTTAACGTAAACAATAACGATAATTTAGAATTTATAGACTAGAGTAGATGAAGGAATGTTTTTAACAAAATATTAGAGAAAACAAAGTGTACGCCATTTAAGACCGTTTTGAATACCTATATTTATACGTATACCTACATTAGGCATAAAAACACAGTCAGTCATGACTTAATTTTTTTATAGAACAGGGGCAAATGGGCAGAAGACTCACCCGATGTTAAGTGAAACCCGCCGCCCATGGATACTCTTAATGCCAGAGGACTCGCGAGTGCGCTGCCGGCCTTTTAAGAATTGGTACGCTCTTTTCTTGAAAGACCCCATGTCGAATTGGTTCGGAAATACTGGGCAGCTGGTTCCACATAGAGGTGGTGCGCGGCAAGAACTGCCTTAAAAAACGCTCAGTTGTGGAACGACGGACGTCTAGGTGATACGAGTGTAATTTCGTATTCTGCCTCGACGTCCGATGATGAAACTTAGCTGCAGGTATTAAGCCGAACAACTTCTCTGAACACGCTCCATGGTCTATGTGGTAGACCGTAGAAGGTTATAAAGGAGTTTTTAATTCCATGACATATATATTATGTTAACAAAATGAGATTTAATTATTCACACACTTTTCTCAGATAATCTGAAATAATGATATGTATATATGATCCACTCAGCACACTGTCTTCTCGATCCAATAATTGTAAAGCTTACCCATCTTAGAGTTTTTATTACAACTATATTTCAAAGTAACAGAAGTATTAGTTTAAGGGATTTTTTTCATTTTAAATAATACGTAAAAAACCTACAAACAATTTCGATAGCAATAAAAAATAAACCTTAAACCATACTTCACAATTCATACCACCACCATATTTTCACAGATTGGATGAATCAAATTATCAGATATTGCATGAGGCTCCCAATATAAGAAGAAAACTAGAAAACTCGGGCACTTGCATTAAAGTCGACGATGAGATTTATTTCGAATAAAAAAATACATAAATTTTATAAATCAATTTCATAAAATTCGTATTAATATTGTGGTGCATAGCAGTTAAATTGCCAAATAATATCAGATTTTTTTATGATGATGATGTTTCATAAATTATAGAAGTAATTTTTTTTTAAATATATGTCCAATCTGACTAAAATATTCGATATCGATCCGGCATTTAAATAACTGTAGGCTTTTAAATTATATAGTTTAAAAAATATATATACATATATGTATTATAAGAACGGGATTTTGACAGTCATGTCACCGCTGAACGGCTTGTTGAGTCAGTCTTTTTTTTTTTTTATGGCTCTGGCACGATTTGTGCATTAGCCAGCGTCAAGTATAGGATTTTTTATAATCCATGCTTTGTCTTTTTAGAAATTCGACCGTGTCCTCCATGTACGGTTTAAGCACTCGCCCGGTACCGCACAACCCTCCCAAAGGCCGAGAACAATTTTAAATTAAATTAAAACTTGCCCTCGAACCGGGAATCGAACCCGGTACCCCTCACCTAGCTGCCACTTAATAAGACCGCTAGGCTATGAGGCCCCTGAGTCAGTCTTCTATTATCTCATTACAAAGTTTATTATAGATAATATAATTATATTTTAATGTTCGATGAAATATCATTAAAGAAACATTTTGATTATAACCCAAAGGAAGATGTCATTGATGGATACCAAGATCATGGGGCACAATGAAGGTCCCCCAATGTGGCATCCCATGCCCTAGTTTTTATGGTTGCTGGCATAAGGAAAACTGTAAAACAACCGATTGCACATTTCTTCTCAAGTGGCTTTTCAACAGCGGACAGGCTTGCAGTGCTTTTGAAAGAGGTATTAACTTAAAAAAATTTTTTGTTACTATTCACCTTTAGAATGCCTTAAACTAATATAAAACAATATCTTTTGTTTCAGATCTTACAGCAATGTTTTGCATCAGGTATTAACATATCTGCCACTGTCTGTGACATGGATGGTGTAAATAGACGACGAGCACTGTCAATCTTGGGTGCAACTGTGGAGCGCCCATACATAACAGTGCATAACAAAGAGATTGTGACATTATTTGACACACCACATCTTGTCAAATGCTTTAGAAATCTTTTTTTAAAATATGACATTGAGTGCACTACTAACATTTCATCTGAAGACAAGAAAGGAAAAGGTATGTTCTTGTGACTGTTTAAACAAAAATATGATAAATTTTGTAACACTTAGGGCCTATTGCACGACCTGCTAAAAGCATTTAATTTTAAGATAATTCAAATTTTTCTATTAAAAATTAAAAGGCTCTTAAGCTGGTGGTGCACTTAACACTTCCCTCTAGCATCCCTTTTAGTTTTACAATATTTTATTTACGCTTATCATCCAAGTACTTGCCTCTATTAAAAACTACTTTTTGTTAATTTACAGGTGTGGCCAAATGGTCTCACATAAAAGATTTCTTTGAAATCGACAACAAAAACCCAAATTTTGTGTTCGCTCCTGCTTTGACAAAGGATCACCTAAACCCAAATGCAAAATGCGCGTCAAACTAGCTGCACAAGTTTTGAGCCACACAGTGGCAGCAGGACTTTATGCAAAGATAGCTGATGGTATGTAACAGTGTAGAAGAAATGTGTCATAAGATAGCTCATTAGTTCTATTACATTTTTTATTTCGTATTTCCAGGCGCGCTCAGTACAGAAGCTGCTGTTACTGCAAATGTGATATCACATATCGACAAGCTTTTTGACGCGCTGAATAGCGACTCAGCAGACTTGCGGCGTGGAAAAATTTTCTCCACAAACATGACAGCGAAAAGCCCACACCACAAATTATTTCAGAATATGAAATATTTTTTTCAAAACAATGAAATTTATGGGGTCTTTGCGAACACCCCCATCACAGGAAGGTTGGATTTGGACCATTAATGGCGTCGAGCGGCTGTTTAAGCAATTCGCTAATGAGGGTATAAAGAGCCTGGCCACAAGACGGTTACAGCAAGATCCATTAGAAAATTTGTTTGGCTGCATAAGGGGCAACTGTGGCTCAAATTCCAACCCAACTGTGGGCCAGTTTGTGGCTGGCTTAAAAACATCAATTTTGAGCAGACTGGGGCACATATTGGGACCACAGGATGTAATTGTGAAACTGACAATAATGTTGTAATGAATAACTATGAGACATTATTGTCAGTTTCACAACCCAGGAATTGTGCAGATATATTGGCATCAGAGTGCAGTGCATTTGCATTGTCGTCTTCAGTAGAACCACAAAATATTGAAGAGGACAATGCAGAAATGCAAGCATGCGCATGTCTGCGGATTTTTAATTAAAAAAATATGCAGTGTCAACAATTGTGAGCCATGCAAGCATATTTTTGTATCCACAAATGTGGAAAAAGTCCACAAATTTGTAGACTATAAAGAATACAATGAGTTGAAAAAAAGTTTGCACTATGCAAATAAATCTATTATATCATGTGTTGAAAAGTGTGCGACATTAATAAATTCATTTTTTAAAGAAAAAAGTCACAAACGTAATTTAAAAACAATTGCAAAGGAAATGGTGCTCCAAAATGTAAATTTTGATTACATAAAAAAATGCGAACAACATGGCACACAAAATATTCACCACATCATAGAAAGTGTTTTCTTTATATGTGTGAAAAGATTTTGTATACTAAAAAACAGATTGTTTGCAGATGAAGCATCAGCATCTGCGCTCAAACGCAAGATGAAGATAATTATGCATAAATAATAATTATTTATGCATAATTATCTTTATTGTTCCAAGTTTCAGTGTATATCCTGATGCTTCTCATTGTAAATACCGTTTCTTAAGTGTTTTCGTGGTTTTTTTTAAAGTGGTTTATGTAAATTATTCATTTGTAGAGAAGAAAACACTGAAACTTTTCATTTGAATTACCTAGGTAATTCGACCACGACTACGAACATTACAAAATTATGTTGATTTCGTGTCCAAATAATAATAAGGATCCATAAAAGTGAAATGAATAATAATTCAATGAGAAAACGTTTTTGTTTTATTTCAAGATCATTTGTTAAATATCTAGTGCTCTTTTGGATGCATAGGCCATTTCATTTGTAAGAAAACTCAAATGAATGAGTTTTCCCATTCATTTGAGTTTTCTTACAAATGAAATGGCCTATGCATCCGAAATTAATAAATTTCTGGGGAACCTGGACCTGCCGGCAATTCAAATTTTTGCCGCCAGATATTCAAATATTGCCGCCACATGTAGTTTTGGGTGGGTTGATAATAGGTGGCGATACATTCGCGTATCTTAGAATCCGTGTTCCTAGTCGTCGTTCTTCCTATAGTAATCTTTGTCTATAGTAGACTGCATGATTTGTGTTGAAAACTGAAAACCGTAAAAGCTTGATTTTGCGAATGCAATTTGCAGTAAGCAAAGTTGAAACAGCTTGAGGCATCAAGCTCCATGCCTAGCCGCCTATATATACATATTTGGTTGCTACTTGCTGATATGACATTTTTAATATGATAGTAGTGTAGTTATATTTATTATCTTATTAGCCAGTTTGAATTGTGGTCTAAGCAGACATGGCTACAGAGAGGGCAGATCTTCTCTTCTTTGATACTTTCTCTCATGATGCCAGTGAGGTAATAACCTAGATCTTACATTTTAAAAGCTTGTTGATTTATATAACGTTTGGCTATAAAACGGAATCATATATTATCTTTAAAAAATGTTTTAGGAATTGAATTTGGATTTGGTTCAGTTTCCTAAATCAGTTTTTGTAACTGAAATCCGCATAATACCTCTTGGTGCCCGCGTGGAAGGAGACTTTCCCGGTGGTGTTAGACTTGGAGCCACTAACCCAACCAAATTTCACATTGACTTCTTTGTTAATGATCTGGGCAAGCCAGGTGCGTGTACATTTGAAGCTTTGGGAAGTTTGGACTATTGTCAGAATGGACAAATTCACATGGAGTGTAGCACAGAAGTAGAAGAAGCAAGAATACCAACAGATGGCCTAGTTTTAAGAGGTAAAGTGACTGTTGACTTTGGTCTAAATATAAACTAATAAATTGACCATTAATCTCAAGTGGTACTGATTTGGTACTGATTCAATATCCAATATCTTGCTTATTAAAATAGGTTTTAAATAAATAAGGACAGTTATGTTAGTATCACAAAACAACAAAAATAAACAATTGTTTGACTTGTTATCGTCTTTGTTAATAGATAAAACTTTATAGAACTTGCTGCTAATTTACATTTTTTAGTCTTTTTTTTTACTCCTGTTTATAGAAAATGTAAACTTCCTTATATAAAACATGGATTTAAAAAAGTACCATGGTTTTTAGTGAGATTATAATGTTATTTCTATATAAAAAGTATTTTAGTTAATGCTAATATAATTGTTGATATTAGAAACAGGCCATGTCAATGACCATGTCTCAACCATAAAACCAAAAATTTATAGCTTGTCGGATAAAGATGGCGTATCACATTTACCTATCTATAAAATAATAATTATCAAAGAAGCCGATGCAACCTAAGGCCAAGACCCATAAAGGGTTATAGCAGCAATCCTCTGGGGATTATTATTATTGTTGCTTCAAGGTTGAAGCACAGAAAATTGATTTCAATCTATAGTTCATAGCCAGCAATGCAAGTATTCTCGCAGTGTCAGGGTTCGGGCAATATCACATAACATCACATGGGCCTTCTGCACATTTGCTCTCTATTCTATAAAAAAAACATTAACTATGAACTTTATAGGGTTTTAAAATAAAATCATTATAATCAATCCTCCTGTTTGTATTACACAATAAAGCAGAGTATAAGCATAAATTGTAATTTTCAGGCTGCTATACAACTATCACACTGGCAGTATATGGTCATTTAACTCAGGTATTGCCTGAAACACCATCTGCTGTGAATCCTCCTCCAAACATACAAAGACCTGTCAGTAGAGAAGTTGCGGCTTTACCTGCAAATGTGCCCCAATCATCAGACTGGAGTCAAGCACCAACTAACCCCATTCCATCATATACTAGCAATGTTGCTGCCGCTAACCCTGAAAACTATGATGCCAGTACATACCCAGAAAACTACGAAAACCCCATGTACAGAACTGATTATTATGATAATAATGAGCAACCAAAAGACCCTAGAACTTATCATCATTTGGAGGATAACGAGTGGGAAAAAGATAGGCACGATTTGAGCTGCGAAAGGGAGCCAGATAGGATCAGACATAGCCCCAGATCTTTGGAACTTGACCGTGAAAGGCGCGACGTACGAAGCAGGCGACGCTCTCTGGACAGGGGGCGAAGTAGAGAGACTTCAAGACACCGAGATCACAGTCATGACATAGAGAGAATGGATCGTTCTAGATCGAGAAGCCGCGATAGAGAGTACGTTGGAAAGGGAGAGTACCGCATGAGCCGTTCACGGTCCAGGAGTTTAGAACGAGACTGGGAACGCGGCACTTACAAGAAAGATGATTACCGACGCCGTGGCCCTTCATATGAAAGATCGCGTGGCGGTTCATTCGAACGGTCTCCATACGATAAAAGAGCACCTTCTTATGAACGAAAAGTACCATACGACAAAGGGACTTATGAGAAACGAATTTCTCCATATGATAAAAGAAGCTCATCTTACGAACGCCGCGGCACTTCTCCTTATGGAAAGAGACATTCTCCGTACCGCGTGCGAGGCTCCAGCTACGGTAGCAGGTCTCCGAGCAGGGATGATTCCAGGAAAAGACCCAGAACCCCTCCCGGTGGAAGACCTTTGTCTCCTCGAGAAGGTGAAGGCAGTCCTATTAATTCGTTGCGATCGGAAGAAGGAGACTACGATAGAAGTGGAAAACAAATACCGCGCGTGGATTTCTACCACCAAAGCTACAGACACAAAACTTCAATTCGCAGTCCATCTCAAGAAGTGGACAACACCTATGTGGAACAGCAACATTCAAGTCTCGTTACAGTTCCCATAGTAGACAATGCAGTGAAGGCTATCGAGTCGCCCGTGCGCAATGTTGAGGATAAATCTATGGACGCCGAACAATTCGAACCGATACTTTCCGATGAAGATATTTGCGATGACTTGGAGGGTTCGTCTTACATGGACGTAGAATACGACGTTAATGAATATGATGGAGTCGATGACGTCATCAAATATTACAATCCCTTCAAGGACGAATGGAAGAAATACCAAGCTGTTAACAAGATATATATGCTCCCTGACGAAGGAGCAGTAGGAGGCACCAAAAACGTGCTGACTGCCACTTTTGATGAACTCTGTGACGTTTGTGCTGATCTATTCAAATTGTCTGAAATTACAAAATCCACCCAAAAAAGAGATCAAAAGTTCTTTTCGAGTACTTTTCCCGATATTGATAATGCATGTAAAGAGGAATGGGTTCATTTGTGTGAACAATTATTCGTTTCCCTCACAAATCTTTGCAAAGATACCGATGTAATATTACGAATCTTTCGTGCCTACAGTAGATCAGAGAAAACTGACGAGTTTTCTAATATATATAATATGTTGGTTACATTTTGCAAGATTGGATTAAATTTTGAACTGGCTCTGTCTCATCAGCAGCCCACATATAAAATTCGGCACATGAAATGTGGAATACGCCTTGCCGAAGCCCTAATGTCGCATAGACACAACGGACAGGTCATGAAATTGCTGCTGACTACTGGTATCGACATTCCAATGTTGCTATTAGAAATATATTCTAAAGAATATATGGCTCTGAGCATTCGTTTGATGATATTAAAAGCTTTAAACGCTTGTTTGTCATCTAAAGCTTCCGTGGACCACTTTATGCAGGAAGCAGTTTTTCCAAAGTTTAATAAAAATGAGAGTGATATCAATAGAAAACCCACGAATGGTTATCGAGCTCTCATTGCCATGATGGAAAACAATCCCCTTGCCAGGGTAAAATTCTCTATAAGTGCTTTGATCAAAAAGCTCAATGTGTATGAGGTACTAGGCAAACTAAACGATTTAGTCTTGAAACTCAACTCAAAAAAAGAAGGAACTCAAAGCGAGCTCGATCTACTCGAAGCCGATACTGAATTCATTGGTCATTCGCTCGAAGAGATATTGTTTACGTATCGGACGGAGTGCTTCCATCTGTCGCAACCCAAGAGATTTCTGCCGGCGTCGGCTCACTTCGAAATAAATAAAGAATGTTCCAATCGAACCCTTTTAGAATTCTTTAGTGCTCATCGTTTCTTGGAGACTTGTTTGTTCCTCTTGACTTGTCCGTCCACTTGTAACAATTTAGTTATAACTTGCCGTATTCACGACTTAATTTACGAGATGATCAATTCGCACGAGGGGTTGATGTATTTGTATAGGAACATGGCTTCGAGTGAGATATTTTTCAAAATGCTGACTCATCCATACAGTCAACAGGGCAACGAAGAGACTTCGTATCCACAAGACGCTAACCTGAGCAATTACAGCGAATTACAAGTAATTGGCTTAGAACTTGCGTACCGATTGAAAGCTCTCTATTACCTCGAGGCGATATCCGATATTCAAGCTGGAAAAGGAGACGAAAACGAATTAATAGATCGCCTCCAGTATTTGTATTGCCTTAGTTTCGGTAGTGTCGGAAAGACCGCCGTTCCAGATGTGATTGTCATGGCGGATAACGCCGACTGTCTCATGTCTGTGTTTGAATATAATTTGAAAAGTAAAAGCAAGAGTGAGTCTCCGTCGAAACAGAAATCTCCCGCGAAAGGTTACGCCATCGAGCTCATCGTATCGGCCATCCGCTACTCGGCGAACGTACAGTTCTTGAAAAAATACGGACAACGACTCATAAACGTGTGCAAAGATCACGATAGATTCGAACCGAGCGTGTCCAGCGTCCTGCAAGAGGCTATACCTTACTTGAAACCCATTGAAAAGCCGGCCGTCTTGGCCGGGGAAGACTTGGCGGAGTGTGTGGACATATTGAAGAATAGTCTCGAACATTCGCCGGACCTACCCGGAGAGCTGATGACTTGCCTAAGAATATTGAGGCATTTCTGTGTCTCTGATTATGACACGAAAGCGAACATTGTGTGCGAGTCCCCCACAGATGAATATGTCGAATTAAAATATAAGTACAACGTTCTGCAATTGTTTTCTCTGGACGGTGTAGCATATCTGGCAGGCATTCTAGATAAGCTGGCGACGCATTTCGAACAGCCGAGCATGCACACTTCGTTCTTCGCTTCAGTGAAAGGCTTACAACTAGCCCAAATCCTTGTACCGTGCTTGCGCTTATTGGACGAGATGTTGGCGCGAGTTGTGCGATGCAGAGGGCCGAGATTTAGGGATATCACTGCCGCGCCGATATTGCTCAAAACCTATGGACTTGCGAAATCGTATCCCCTCGGATGCATCGGCCATCGCACCGCGACGAAAGCTGCCGAGGCGTCTGTTCGAGCGCTGCTCGCGTACGCGCAACCGATAGCGGACGACGCTAAAGACGGGGACTCCATCCGGCGCGGACCGTGGACGTCCCTGTGTTCAGAAGTAATATCCTACACGATGACAGCGCCGTACACGTTTGTTCCCGGTTTGCTCATCTTTTCGGAGCTGTTGCCTCTCCCTTTACCGATACAAACCAAGGTGCCGCCTTCGGATAGGGAACTAGCAGACGCATCCAATGAAAGGCGTTTGTGGTCCGCCCATTTGCACGCATTGACTAATGATTTGACCGATATGATTCAAATTATTTGTATGTCGACATATCGACCAGTCGTGCACATGTTGCGCCGAGTGTGCATACAAATAGCGGACCTAGCGCCAAACACTGCCGCCACAGTCGCGAAGGCGGCCGTCGGGGCTGTCATACGAGAGATCAAAGAGGGCGATCCCGCCTCGGCCAATATGGTTCGAGTCCTAGGATTTCTAGCGTGTCTCGTATCGCACGCTCCGGTTAAATGCGCGGTTATTTACGGAATGAGCAACGGTCCGAAAGCTAACGAACTTCAGACCGCTCTTTGCGGGTTGTTAAGTTCATCTCACGCGTCGAACGACCACGCGGCGGCTCAAGAGTACGCCGCTCACACGCTCGCTGCCCTCTGTGATGCCGAAGTGACATTGACGCCTTTGACTGCAGCGAGCGACACCGTATTAGCCAACTCGTTACCTAACAAAGAGGCGTTGAATGCGTTCTTGGACGCTACGGCCGAATGTCTCGGCTCGGTCACCAAGAGCGCTTCCGTGGCGTCCTCGATTCTGCGTTCTTACTATGTGCTCACCGAACACGATTATGGGTTTCAACATTTTAGAAAGTATGTGGCAAAACAACGTGAGCGCTCGAGCAAGTTCTTCAAGTGGGTCGTGGAGGGCGTCAGCGAGGATAAGGCGGAATGTCTGAATCTGTACATGGATTTGATAAAGGTGTTGAGGAGTGAAGAAGGAGTGGGTCCTCTCGGTCGGAAGGGAGTTCTGACCCCGACCGAGGTCGCCGACATGGTCGGTTATACGGCGGGGGCGGAGGATCACCCGATCACATCACTTGAGAAAATACTAAAAGTGAGTATGTATTAATTTTAAAAAGACACACTAACGAAACACATACAAACACTTACAGAGATTGTACATTGTAGAAACATTAAAATGATGAAAGAGAAAAGAAATTATGCAATAAAAATAAACGACAATAAACTATATTAAGAAGTATTTCCGGACCAATTCGACTTAGGGTCCTTCAAGAAAAGAGCGTACCGATTCTTGAAAGGCCGGCAATGCACTTACGAGCCTTCCGTCAGTGTGAGTGTCCATGGGCGGTAGTATCATTTATCATCAGGTGAGCCTCCTGCCCGTTTGCCTTCTATTAGATGATAAAAAAATACAAGTATGCAATTCGAAAATTTAATATATTTCTACTTTGCAATTGCTATTATTGTTGACGGAACAACAGTGGCTGCAGCATCTTACGACTGACGACATGGAGACTGTCATTAAATGGATCTGCTTCGCATGTACTCAGAGCGTCGTTCAATGTCGATAGAGATCGGTTTTTTTTTTTTTTTTTTAATTTTGGACCACAAAATTAGGACAAACACATGATATAAATTGACATACATACAAAAATATCAAAAGCGGTGCCGTTCCTATAACATGTGGACACGACCAGCGAAATCAAGTAGATACAAAAAACAGTGTTAAATACAAACAAGCATAAAAATTAAAAATGCAAACTATAAAAGAATTAAACTATTTGAACCAAGAAAATAAATTATCGGTACTGTGTCCTAATTCTACTCTTAGCTGAGGCCAGAGAACCGTGAAAAATGTCAAAACTCTGTGCAATATCATTATGGTAGCGACATAACCTATTAATTGGTGAGTTTCTGCCAACGTTTGTTCGACAATGTGGGATGTGAAAACATCTTCGATTGTACAAACGACTCCCGACCCGAGGAACTTGTATGGATAAACGTTCTAAAATTTCTGGGCAAAGTCAAAGTCAAAGTCAAATCGTTTATTTCAATTAGACCATCTAAAATGGCACTTTTGAACGTCAAAAAAAAAAAAATATATAAAGATGATTCTAGTTGCCCCTTCCAAAAGGTAGTTTCGTGTGGAGAAGAATGGGCAAGAAACTCCACACTTACTCTTTTAAAATAGGTTTACAATATTTTGTTACATTTGTTAAATAGTTATATGTGAAGACAATGTACTCTTAGAATAAACTACTATACTAAAAAAGTTAGTATACATGTTCCTCACATATTTACAAGTATCGAAACCTTAGAATATTAACATTAAAGAGTAATAAAAATATTAAAATAAAAATAGGTAAAAAAACTTTTTAAGTTAAACGGTTTTATGTTAAACATACATTGCAATGTTTAAGATAAATGTACTAAAAACCAAAAAATAATAAAATAGATACAGTCGTGGGAATTATAAACATATGCATAGACTAGACTAAAATAAAACCGTGGGGCACGTCAATTGTCTACAAATGATCGACTTAATGTGCGATAGAAGAATCGTTTAATTCGTCGTTAAAATAGGCAGTTGGCCCGCAGACGGTCAGGAAATTACTTACTATTTTCTTGCTCATGGAAATTCCAATAGTTATACACTCCATGTAAATAAAAGAGATGTTTCAACTAGTTTATCGTTGGACATTCTGCTGGCTGGCGAGGAATCGTTTCACTGCTCGTAGTTTGTCTTTAATCGACAAAACATATGATAAAAGTACTACTCGCTCACCACTATGAAACCCTAAAACTCGCTTATAATCGAGCTTGCTAGCTTGTTTCCACATTCTAGCCCTACTTATCACACGTCCATCGTTGTCGGTTGAACAACTGCCTAATTATAGTGTAACATTACAAAACAAACATTTTAATCAACGATTGTAGACAATTGACGTGCCCTACGGTTTTATTTTAGTCTAGTCTATGCATATGTTTATAATTCCCACGACTGTATCTATTTTATTATTTTTTGGTTTTTAGTACATTTATCTTAAACATTGCAATGTATGTTTAACATAAAACCGTTTAACTTAAAAAGTTTTTTTACCTATTTTTATTTTCTAGTTTTTAGTTTTTATTTCGCATTCTGTTTAATTCATTTAGTGCTTCATTATTGCAAGGTCCCTTGCCAGTTAGTTTATATAAATAAATCAATTCTATAATATATATTTAATTAATAAAATAGATACAGTTTTTAATATAATGTTATATATATATATATTTATATATTATATAATATTTATTTTTTTATTTATTTTTATTTTATTTATTTAGTTTATTGTATTGTCACCAAAATCCAAAGTGTATACAAAATTTCAGATTAATCGGTTGACAGGAAGAGGGTGAAATTTGAATTACTAAATTTGACCCAAGAATAAAACAAACGGGGTGAGCTAAATAAAACCGTTTAAAAACACAACAAAACAGTGTGTGAGATACAAAAAAAAAAATTACATTTGTAGCATTATATAAATTAAAAAAAATAATAATAATAATAACAAAAATATGTTAAAGCAAAAAATCAGCAACCAATTTGATTTTGTCCAGGCTATAGAGCCAATCATAGGATTGTCCTATGGAGCAGGACCAGCATGTTTCCAAGCATCCAATCCACAATTCCGTTAGTTACTTTAAATAGGTATAGCAAGTCGATGTTTGCTCTACGAACTCTCAGAGATTCCAAGTTATAAAAATTTAACCTATCCTCATATTTACTCAACATTGCACATTTATTATTTATAAAGGATAGATGGTATAAAACTTTCTCTGCACCCTTTCCAGCCTCGTTGAATGGGTTAAATACATTGGAGACCAGACACAACTATTGAACTCCAATATGCTTCTAACGAGGCTGGTAAAAACTGCGACACCGGGATCGGTAAGACTCCCTGTTATTCTGGAGATAAAACCAGAGAGCTTTGAGGATATTTTTATAATACTATCCACATGCTCCCTAAAACTTAGGGAACTATCCATAATGACACCCAAATCTCTTATGCTTTTAACCTCTCGAAGTTTCTGGCCCCTTATGCAGTATGTTAATGGTGAAGATATCTTTTTTTTCGAAAATTTTATGCAGCAGCACTTTCCTTCATTTAAAATCATTCTATTCAGCCCGCACCATATGTTAACTTTGTTTAGTTGCTCCTGCAGAAAATCAATATCGATATCCTGTTGAACATGTTGGTATAATTTTAAGTCATCAGCGTACATTTTAAAATTGCACTTTAAATTATATGCTAAGTCATTCACAAAAATGATAAAGAATAAAGGCCCTAAGTGCGATCCTTGTGGTACACCCATAGGTATAGGCTGACCGTTAGACACATGCCCTCTGATCTTTACCAGTTGTGTCCAAAAGCCTTACCGAGGTCGGTGTATATTGCATGGATTTCCTGCCCGTTGTCGATTCCCTTCGCTATGTCCTCAGTGAAACCAAGCAAATTCGTAGTGGTCGATTTCTTTGGCATGAAACCATGTTGCTCTGGGTGTATATTCTGTTTTACATGCCAAAAAATTCTCTGCTGAATAAGAGACTCAAACACTTTTCCAGGTGCTGGTAATATTGAAACTGGTCTATAGTTCTGAACAACGTTTCTATCTCCGCCTTTGTGAATAGGTGTTACCCGAGCAGCTTTCCACACGGTAGGAAACACACCTTGACGCAATGACTCGTTATAAATCATTCATAGGGGAATCGATATATTTTCGGCACATTTCTTTAGCACAACATTAGGTATATTATCCAACCTTATACCTTTGTTTGCGTCTAACTTCCTAATGGCGGCGCGAACTTCAGATACTTCCAGGATCACATTATGCAACGAGGGATAACACCCAGGGACTAGACCTTCAGTTATTGGAGAAGAAGGATCTATATCTGAAGATGTTGTTGTTAATGAGGGTTGTAGCTGATATACTGATTGAAAGTATTCTGAGAATAAATCGCATATTTCTTGGCCACCATTAGCCTGTTTAGAACCCCAAAGGACTTGGTTTGGTACAGAACAACTATTATGTTTTAAGTTATTAACGTAGGACCATATGTATTTTGGATTTTGTTTCAAAGCTAAGGCAGCGTTCTCTTTAAAAGTTCTATAGCACTCCCTAAGCATTTCATCATATCTTCGTCGTAATATATCGAATGTTTGTTTGTCTCTTGGATTTTGATATAACCTGTATCTTTTGTGATATTTAAGTTTCTCTTTCGCGAATTTAATTAGGGGTCTACTGAACCAGGGAGGGTATGATTTGGCATGGTATATGGCGTATTTTCTTTCAGTATTGGTAAAACTTATGCTCAAAATTTTTTTCCCCCATTTGATTTATGTCTGCATTAGATCCCAAAATCTCAGTCCATTGTAGATGAGAGAGAGACTCGTCAATTTTAGTAAAGTCAGATTTATTAAAATCTAAAAAGGGAATTCGTTTATGCTTAAGATATTATATTTGTCCCTGCGCTACAAGCTCGATTTCAAGTGCAGGGTGGTGACTGTCCAAATATATAAGTGGATTTAGACATTCACTCACCTTTACCGTTTTGGGGGAGTTAGTTAGCACTAGATCCAGAGTTCGTTCAGAAGTATTCCTAACCATATTGCACTGTTTAAGATTGCAAAAGGTGATATCATCTAAGAATGTATTTTCTACTCTACCATGGCTTAGTTTAACCGGTATGCATGAAAAATGTCTTTCGTCGCCCTGCCACATAATATTTGTCATATTAAAGTCGCCTAATATTATAGTTGCTTCTTGATTTATTCTGTTACAAAATACATCGGTCATGTTGTTCAGAAATAATTCTAAATAATCAATACTTACTGGAGAAGGTATGTATACTACACATATGTTGAGGTTGAAACGCGTTGCTCCCCAGTTAAGACCTATACTCACCCATAAATCCTCACACATGGACTTCCATAATGGTCGCTCGATAACTTCTAAACGTTTGTGCACCGCGATACATACACCCCCCCATCTTTTTTGGTCCTGGATGATATTGTTCTGTTACGATCACTTCTGAATACCGTATACTAAAAATTCATGATCAAAAACCGAGTCATTCAGGCACTTGTCTCACCGGCAACGATTAACGAGTAACGAGTAGAGCTAGAACCAGAAACGAGTTAGCGAGACGCGGGGAGCGAGTGCGTAGTTCCAAAATTTGTGTAGCTCGGCTATAAGCGAGTGTGCGAGTGAGATGGGCGATTACTCGCATCACTCGCTCGCAGCAGTCAAGTTTAGCAAGAAATAATCACTGGTTGCTCTCTCGGCATGAGTTCTAATCGCTTGGCGAGTATCGCCGAGCGAGTGTTATCTTTCATAGCTCTTGTCGCTCAGCGACAAACTAGTGAAGCGAGTGCTCGCCGGCAGTGTGAACAGTCAGCGATCAACTGTTTGTATATGCATCTCTTTTGTTCACACGAAAGGAATATCTATTGTACGTTTCTTGAGCGAGAAAATAGCCGATAGTTAGTCGTTTTCTCGTCGTTGGTGGGACAACTGCCTTAGCCAGGTTTCCGTTAGAACTATGACGTCATAATCATAACGCAAAGAGCTCAAATAAAATGTATTCGTTTTGGTTCTCAAGCCTCTTACATTCTGATAGTATATGTTTAAAATTTTGACGCAAATAACACTTAGACAGTACCAAAACACAAACTTAGGAGATGAAAATTAAAGGGGAAAATGATTTACTTAAGTAATTACAAGTTTTTCAATTTTTCCACACTATCAATTAGAAGACCCCTTGAGGTAACGTTCTTCCGAGCAAATATTTTTCCGTTACGAATCCACAGAAACTCGTATCCCTTTTCCCTTGCGGCTACTCGAGCAGTGGCATGCAGTTTCTTATTTGCGGGTGACAGCTGTTCTGTAACGTATACGGAATGCGTGCTCATAGCAATACCCAGATGTCCAGAATGCAGCTTTTCTTGGGGATTAGCCTGATTAAAACGTCTTACGGATGCCAGTATCTCGTCTCGTACTCGAGGGCTGATGAGTTTAACAACGATGGAACGGGGCCTGCTGGATTGTTGGTCAAGCTTTTGCACTCTGTGGAAATCTACTATCGCTGTGTCTTTAATCTCTCTTGATGTTACTTTTCCAAGCTGTTTGATGGTCGTCAAAAGATTTTCAGATTTGAATTCAGGAACACATTGAATTTCTATATTACAGAACCTTGAACGCTGATCCAGGGCATTAAGATGACTCCACAAAGCTCTGTTCTCTGCCTGAAGCGTTTCTATGACTTTTGTGTTCTCGCTTACTTTCTTATTTATACCTTCAAATTGTGATGAAAAGTAGTTAAGTTTTTCTTTCAGCTGCTCAAAATCCTCGTGAATTGACTTATTTTCCAATATTATCTGCTGCCTAACTTCTGCTAGAATAGTTGCAGTTGTCTCTTGGAGTTTAGCCTCTATGTACTGTTTAAGCTCATCCATGTAAGAATCACCTACACCGCTCAACGATGAGGGTGAACAAACTACAGCACTCGGATTCTCTTGCCTTACTGGGGTGCTATCACCTTTCTTTTCTATACTTTTACAATTGGGACACTTCCAATTAGCTTTTGCCTGCTTAGATTATTTGTGAAAGTTCTCCGTTGTAGTACCCAAGCATTGGTAGTGATAGTGCCCAACACACAGAGAACAAACTTTGTCTTCAATTGGCTTCACAATTTTGTTGCAAGCTTTGCACTTCATCCCGTTATCAAGCTTGTTGAATAAGGAAAACGTAACCGAGCAAGCTTGTGCACTATGGTTTCGATGGCAACAATACGTATATCTTGTCGTCTCTTATCAGTAGTCTGTGCTTGTCAATTATGTGACGGTATCACAAAGTTGTAATTAAAAAAAAAAATAACAAGATAACAAATGAGGGTATCTTGATTTGTGATGCAAAAATTTTTTAATGTGATAGTTGTAAAAATGTTGTGTGTTTCGTTGAAATAATATTGGATGACGTGAGCCTGATATAGTTCTTGACTTTAACAACGCTTTTCACAACAAATAACCACAATAATATTTATAAAAGAACTTAATGATTGTAACGTATACACTGTTTTAAGCATGACACTTGACTTTGACTGTTAATAGAGGAACATAATGTCCGAACGTAAAAAATAGTACGGGAGGTAGCAACGTTTTCGAGAAAGAATTTTAGGTCAGCTGATTTTGTGATGTCTTCCTTCTTGCACTTTCGGTTAGAGTCTTGGCAATCTGGCTGGCGGTAGCGGTTGCGTTCTTTAGTGCGCATCCTATCTGTCCAGGTAATATCCTGGATTTTAAAAGCATTTTAAGAAGCGTAATTTTTAATTTTTCGTTTTCAAATAAGTCTACCTGACATACTTTTTTTATTGCCAGACATTTTTCACATTGCTAACTATGTGCCAGACGCGATTTTAAATTTTTTTTTTATAAAAATTTCAAAGTATTTTAGAATGTCTGTAATTTTAATATTATGTTCTTTAAATATAAGAAAAACTAAAAATGAATTTGCCAGACATTAATTCGGTTGTTAAGTCTTGAATTAAAATGAAAAAGTATTGCAGTATGATGAAGCGTTGCATTTTAAGTAGCGCAATTTTTAATTTTTCCTTTTTAAATAAGTCTACCTGACATACTTTTTTTATTGCCAGACATTTTTCACATTGCTAACTATGTGCCAGACGCGATTTTAAATTTTTTTTTAATAAAAATTTCAAAGTATTTTAGAATGTCTGTAATTTTAATATTATGTTCTTTAAATATAAGAAAAACTAAAAATGAATTTGCCAGACATTAATTCGGTTGTTAAGTCTTGAATTAAAATGAAAAAGTATTGCAGTATGATGAAGCGTTGCATTTTAAGAAGCGCAATTTTTAATTTTTCCTTTTTAAATAAGTCTACCTGACATACTTTTTTATTGCCAGACATTTTTCACATTGCTAACTATGTGCCAGACGCGATTTTAAGTTTTTTTAATAAAAATTTCAAAGTATTTTAGAATGTCTGTAATTTTAATATTATGTTATTTAAATATAAGAAAATCTAAAAATGAATTTGCCAGACATTAATTCGATTGTTAAGCCTTGAATTAAAATGAAAAAGTCATGAAAAGTATGGCAGTATGATGCCTTTCATTGGTAATAAAAACATTTACGTAAGTTTTAATAAATGTTATTCATACAAAGTGATAAATAACTAAGTAATTAAAACTATTGAAGAATCATTATCGTGTGAGAAGATTCTGAACAAAAAAAAAATTAAAAATAACGCTTCCTCAAATGCAATTCTTCATCATACTGCAATACTTTTTCATTTTAATTCAAGACTTAACAATCGAATTAATGTCTGGCAAATTCATTTTTAGTTTTTCTTATATTTAAATAACATAATATTAAAATTACAGACATTCTAAAATACTTTGAAATTTTTATAAAAAAAAAATTAAAATCGCGTCTGGCACATAGTTAGCAATGTGAAAAATGTCTGGCAATAAAAAAGTATGTCAGGTAGACTTATTTAAAAGGAAAAATTAAAAATTGCGCTACTTAAAATGCAACGCTTCATCATACTGCAATACTTTTTCATTTTAATTCAAGACTTAACAACCGAATTAATGTCTGGCAAATTCATTTTTAGTTTTTCTTATATTTAAAGAACATAATATTAAAATTACAGACATTCTAAAATACTTTGAAATTTTTATAAAAAAAAATTTAAAATCGCGTCTGGCACATAGTTAGCAATGTGAAAAATGTCTGGCAATAAAAAACGTATGTCAGGTAGACGTATTTAAAAAGGAAAAATCAAAAATTACGCTTCTTAAAATGCTTTTAAAATCCAGGATATTACCTGGACAGATAGGATGCGCACTAATGAACGCAACCGCTACCGCCAGCCAGATTGCCCAGACTCTAACCGAAAGTGCAAGAAGGAAGACATATCACAAAATCAGCTGACCTAAAATTCTTTCTTTTCAAACGTTGCTACCTCCCGTACTAAAAGGGATGAATTGTTTTTTGTGTTTCTCTTGAGAAAATTCACTTTTGTGAACGAAGATAACGTTAATTAAGTCAATGAGTTATCGATTTCGCTATTGCACAAGTATCGAATATTAGTGAAAAAAAAATTATTTCTTAAAATGTAACGTAGGTACTCTTAATATAATAAATAGACCTTTTTTTAAAATATAAGGAAAGAAATGCGGACGAAGAAGCCATATCCAACGCGAACTTTCTGTACGCAACGTTGCTAAAGCTCCCCGAAGCGGAGGTCGCCATCGCGTCGAGCGATCCTCCGGAAGCTTCGGCGTCCCCGGAGCCCCTGGTGATCCAGTTTGGGTCCCGGCAGGTGTACACCCTGGACTGCGGCGACGAGCGGCTCACCAGCGGCTATTGGCTCAACGTCCCGGTCGCCGGGGACGACGACGTCAACGACACGGAACTGGTGGGACCTTCGACCGACTCTTTTAAGAGACAATAAGGATGAAGCGCGTCGTTCATTTTTATCCGTATCGCCATCAGGTGCCTTGTGACGTGTTGGAGATGGCGAACAGCTACTTGTCGACGGGCGGCGGCGAGGCGTTGGCGGCCGCCGTGCGTCGTCTGGCCGGATGCCTCGACGCTAGACCCGACCCTCTGCAGCTTCCTGCCGACGACAAGAGACCGGCGGGTAAACTTCCTCGTCGAGCTTTGTTTATCGAGGCCTACGAAGCCCCGTTGACCGTTATGATCTGTGCATTTCAGTACTAAAAACCGCATATGACGATGATGTCGTTTCAGTGGCTCTGAGCCGCGTGCGAGGCGAAGGCGGCGCCGACGCCTTCCGCTCTCGTCCGCCCAACACCTCCCGCCCGCCCTCGCTCCACGTCGACGACTTCACCGCCCTGCATCAGCCGTATGCGCCCAACACCAGGTGACAATCGGAGCCTCCGAGCTCCACGATATAATCGGCTCGTAATCGAATGGCTCGTCGAGCTACGTTTAACGAGTCGAACCTCATTCGTCCGAGTCTGATTTTTGACTGTTTAAATAAATAAATCTAAAAATTGTTCACTAAAGCCATGTTATATGTGAAGGGGCGTCCGTCGCGGCGCAGCTCCGGACCGAGGCAGATTCGCCAGCTCGGCTCCGCACCAGCACTATCGCCAGCTGTGAGTCAACTCTCTGTTCTTACTTTGATTTTATATTCTTCCAATTCCCAAGAGGATGAACATCTACTTACAACGTGCTTAAAAGAACTTGAAATTGAACAGACGCGGTCGCGGCGCTTGGGAAATGGGCGCTCAGCACTTCGGCCACTTCCCGCCTGCGCAGTATATGATGGGTGAGAGCTTCCGCATTATTCTATTCGTTTTCACAATTATGTTTTTTTTATAATTACTAACCGAAACACTCGTTCAGGTGGCATGGGCTGGGGAGGCGGAAGGATGCAGCGAGGACCCCGACACCGTTCTTTTATGCGTTAATTGCACGATAACATCATTTAGATAATTCATAATTATGACCGGATCGATTGGATGGATCAAATTAAACAATTATTGAGTCGAGTCAGTTTATATTAAAATATAATTAATTAATATTTACAAGATTTAATCACTTTGTTCGTCGACATGTTTCTATATCTACGAAATTAAAGATTTAAAGTGGACAAAGCAATCGCAGTCTGACAGGAGAAAATTAAAACATTTAAGCCATTATTATTATTATTTTTTCAATAAATTAAGATAAATTTAATGTTGTTATCAGTTGTCTGTAATAATTTGAAATTGTGAACGACCTTTTTTTATAAATTCTATTAGAGAGCGTTCAAGTATTACGTCACGCAATTTTTGGAGATTAATAAACCCCCCCTCGTGTAACGCGCCGTTTTTCTGTACCCAAGTATAATAAAACGTTTCGTGACCACCTCGTGACTCTTTATACCTAAAAGTTACCATTATGTGGTGTAAAGCACTGGAAAGTCGAAAATAATGTTAACAATAACGCGTAATTCAATCCTCCCCCCAAACTCGTTTCGTAATACTTGAACTCCCTTATACAAAAACGAAAATATAATAGAAACAGAAGAGATCGCTAAATAGCAATGAGGCCGCCCCTCGCATTAATTTTTTTTTTCTAATATTTTGTAAATCGTTTTTATTGTGCAATAGTGTGAGTGAACAAATGTCTTATTTCAATATAAACTACATTAATACAATACAATACAAAATAGACTTTCAACACAAGTTTTCCACGTCATTTACACCTCACTTCGTAACTAACAATTCTGTACAAATAATATTATTTTGTCGAGTTCACAAATAAGTCCTAACCGAAGTCCTAATGGTGGAAGCTCAGTGAACGCTCAGCGCCGTAGGTCCCGCGAGGACGCTCCGCTTATCTCAGGTAGCTCCGGAACAGAAGAGTGGTGTAGGCCGTGTCTCGCTCTTGCTCCAGAAGGAAGATCATGTCCCGCAGGTTGATGCGCTTCAGGCGAGTCCTCAGGGCCAGTTGACTGCGACCCGGCTGGAAATTAAAAGACGACCGTCGCAGTGGTAAAGTCTACGGGGTTTAAATTCAAGAGAATAAAAAGAGGTACTGACGAAAGAGTTGTTCCCCGGAGCGCTGACTCCGCCGTCCGCCGGTCCGTCGAGCCTGGCCTTCTTCCTGGGCCCGATGGCCTGCAGAGCGGTCAGGTTGGCCTCTCGTTGCCGCAGCTCTTCCAGCTCGGCTCGCTGCATCTCCTTCGCCTGTCGACAGTCAATTCGGGGAAGAAGACTTAATGCGTGCCCATGATATGAATGAACCGACCCGCGGGTGACGAGAGCGGGGCCCGTACCTTGGCCTTCAGCTTGGCCTGTTCCGGATCCTCGTTCTTGGAGCGCGACTTGGCGGCCCTGAGAAGGATCTCTCTCTCGGAATCCTCCCTTCTCTTCCGGTCCACGCGGTCCAGCTCCTCCAGGAACTTCAGCTGACCCTTCACGTCCTGGGTGACGTCGTAGCAGGAGTCGGTCTTGATCAAGAGATCGCTCCTCTGCTGGGCGACGACGGCCAGCTTCTCCAGCAGGTTCTTGAGCCTCTCGTGCACGGCGTGACACACGAGGCTGCTCACCTCGGCCGACGCGTCTTCCAGGCCGTGCTTTCCGATGACGGCCTTCACCCGGTTCTGCATTATGCCCATCGGCACCAAGTACTCGTCTTTTATTGACCTGAAACGATTTCATCCCATTATTAAAACGCCGCCCGGAGACGATCGGGACGGCCCGAACGGTCGAGGGCGGGAGACCTTATCTGAGTGCCGATGAGTTCCGTCGAGCCCAGAATCCTCTGTGTCTCCTCGGCCAGGTTGACGCCTCCCATGGCCGCCACGTCGTTGATGTCGTCGTCCCCGGTCATCTTGTCGTCGCCGAAGGGCTGAGTGAACTGCAGAGTGGACTTCCTCTCCTTGTCCTTGAGCAGAGACTTGCCCGGCGTGAGGACGGTGGAGAGGGCCGCCGAGGGATTCCCGGGCCTCGCGAAGTTCGCTTTGCTGTTCACCGTCATCGTTTTGCCGACTTTCGTCACGTTGATCTTGGTGTGGAGTGGGATGTTCTGCAAGACCGCTATGGAGCCCCCGGGTTTGGCCGTCGCTTTTTGCTGAAATGCAAATATCAATCGATCGATCGCTTCGGATTGCTTACTTTACATTCAAAGTTACCGATGAAACCCATAGGTATTTGACCTTCAAAACTTTAGAAAGCTTTAAAAGTGATTATATGTAAGAAACGTGCACTCGCCAAGTAAACTTTGAAAATAATACAACTTAATAGTAAAATTTATCAAGAACCGAGGACTAATTGAAAAAGCTTAGTCGAAATCTTTACAGGTAATTCCTAAATAAATCACTGACATTCGTATTCAACTAAATTCATTTCGTCAGAGCTCGGGCCGAGTAAAAGTCGACTGTTCACTGACCATTTGCACGTTGGCGGCGAGCGCGGGCTGCGCCTGAGCCGGCGGGGCGAAGGCTACCTGCGGGGAGGGGGGATTGATACCCTCGATCACCAGCTCCTTGGTGCACATGGACTGGCGCAGCAGGGGCAAGCTTTTCTGCAAACACACGGATGCGGTGTACATCGTTTTCATCTCTAACAAGAGAATATGGGTTTCTACTTTCTACGTAGAAAAAAAATACTATACGAGTTCTGATAAAAGAACAAAGCAGAATAGAGTTTCACCTTTAAGAAGCCTATGAGGCACGGCTGCGGACTGGCATTCAAGAGCCTCTCCAGTCGATCGCAGAACTCCTCGGGTTCCACCTGAGCGTCGATGAGCTCCTGTATGAGGTTTCTCACGTTCCTCTCCACCGACTTGGGCTCCTTACTCGAAAGATCCAACAGGTTCGCCAGAAAGTTTCGGCACTTCTCCTTTGTGTTGTCCAAGGGTTTCTGTATGTTTGTGAATGCAAAGGAAATTGTGTGAATAGCTCTTGGCACATTACACTATTCTATCACTATTCAAACTGCACGCCAAGTGAAGACTCACCTGAGTGGTGACGACGGGGGCCTGCGGAGTCGAGGAGGGCGGAGCGCTTTGTGCTGCGGAGTGGGCGGACGTGGCCTGGGCGGAGGGAGCGGACGCAGGGAGCTGCGCTGCCATCTGTGGCACCGCGACGCTCGTCGACGCCGTCACCACGCCAGGGTGCTGCGACACAATCCACTCGATCACATGTTACTCCACCGTCATACTAATACCATCACCATAAATCAAAACATACAGTCGATGGCATACATTGATAGCCCACTTATTGTATTTGATTTCACAAAAATCTACATTCATAAAGATTGGTAATAATATGAAACAACATACACAACAACTACTTAAGAGATTTATGACAGAATGTGTGAAATTTCACTTGTTAAATAATAAGAATTTTATCAAGCTTCCTATCCTGGCAAAAAATGAGTAAAGTAACTATAAAATACTTTAGTTAACCTAGCAAACAAATATTGTGACCGTTTTTTACACATCCACACAACAAGCTTGTTAATAGTGTTAGATTGTATTACTGATACCAAAAAAAATTAAATCATAGAAATGCACCAAAAGGCAAGTGGTACTTTTTTTGTTTTTGAAGCATGGAGGAAAGTTTTGTAATATACATTACAGTTTTATGCACACTATAAACTATAGGTAAAATTATATATAATTTATCAACATGTACCAATAAAACATTCTCTACATATACCAAAAAATCTTGACATTTTATATAGTATTTATAAGAACAAAAAAAGTTCCAAATCTAGCGTTGCAATATGGCATCCAAATGTCCACAGGTCACCTAATTAATAACATCACATGCACCACAACCACAACATGCATGACACTGAAATTGTTAAGTTTGAGGTGCGGAAAATAGGAAAAAAGGAAGTCAGCGGGATTTCTGATATCAGAGTGACGATGTCTTCGTCCTACTTACTGCCGGCACGGTTGACAGCCGGAGGGTCTGCGGCTGAGGTGCTGTGAGGGTGCTGCCAGCTGGTGCCGGACCCACCCTCAACAGCTGGTATTGACCACTCTCTGTCTTTAACAACAAATGACCCTGCTGCCCCTGTTGTAGACTTTGAAGTGTTTGCAGCGTTATCTAAAAATTAACCCTAGTTTCAATTTTGACATTTCAGACAGGACAAAGTATATTTATGAAATCTGAGATGATAAAGCAGGTCATTTGTCCAATACCTAAGATAAGCGGGATTCTAGGTGCCACTTGATGAACAATAATGCATGTGATAGACAGCTTTTGTATATACAATTATAATTTGTAAATTAATAATTATAAAAAAAATATGTTAATCTGTGAAGCAATTAGCAAAGTTTATAATTTAAATCACCATGTACATATCTTTCAAACTGTCTCAGACCTGCGTCATAGTATTAGTAATGTTAAATTATTAAAACAGAGAACAAGTTTACCTAAAAGGAGTGTGACATTATTGAATAAAATGACATGTATAGATTAGAATAAACGGTATGTTCATAGTTCACATGCCTAAACAAGGTTCAGTTGTAAGCTAGATGATAGTGTTATGTTTCTTAAATGACTATAGACACTTTATGACTTAAAAGTGTGAGGATTTTCACCTTTTTGCTCTGGTGGTATTGTGGTATACATATATGTATAAATATCAGTCATGCACTATACAAATGAGATGAAAATGATTATTACATGATGTCAGCAAAAGCTCCAAGTAAATCTGTACTATATCTAATTAATAAACACTGAAATATTTAATTTGAATAGAAAAAGTCATCAAATATAGTATGCAAACTATTGGTGAAGTAGCAGATGAATTATATTTTTAATTATCTTCAGTTTCCTTATTGATTTATTAAGTGTCATATCATAATATAAGTGAAGATGTTAATGTGAAATTGTATCATGTTAGAGTGACAAGCATAATAATTAAAAATAAATGTTCAACAACTTACACCAGGAACAGCAGCTCTCGCCCCCACCACTTGTGGAGTTCCAATGACAACTCGCGGGGAGACTGTTGCAACTGACTTTTGAGCAGAAACAGATGGAGCTCCAGGTCGTGTATTGATTATCTGAACATTTGGAATAATGGATTGTTGTCCTGATCCCACATTCTGTGTTGTCACTACTACATTTTGCCCTCCTGGTTTATTAATAGTCATAACATTGGGAATTGTATTCGAAATGCTCGAGTTAACTGTCATAGGTACAGTCATCATCCCAGATTGCATGTTGACTTGTCCTGATGTTGTGCCCTGCTTTATAACAAGTGGTGGCTGCATGATCCTTGGGCGCAGGTAGAAGATACAAAGCACTGATATTAACTTTATATACACGTCATGTGCGCAATAGGTATACTAAGGAGTAGCGTTCAACCGTCGCTGGCTTATTTAATTGAAATAATGCATTGGCATGGCAGTAACAATACACTAGTTCTTTCTTTTAATTACTTTAAACCGTTACCTAATATTGTTACTTTTACTTCTGATAATTCTGAAATTTCTATTCTTACTATGCAGTTATACCAAAGTTATAGTACAAAATACAATGGCTTAAAGTAATTATTATAAAATTACTTCTATTTTAATTTAGATTAATAGTAGTAATACAATAAAAACATGAACGACTCGTAATCGTATACTCGTCCACAGATATCTAATATCTTCACGTAGAACTGTATATGTCAGAGTCAAAGGAGTACACAAATACAGATGAATATACGATTTGTAGATTGTACTTATAGTAAGTAAAGAGAAAAATCAGGAACCTGAGACGAAACTTCAATGGTATCTTCAGGTATAGAAGTAATATTAATGTCAATCTCTGTTGCAGATGTTGATGGGAAAACCAGATGGGCACAAATGTCAATTGTCAGCTAAATGACTTCTGAATTTGCAAGTGTGTCGTGGTGTCGCGTGTTGGTAATGTGCACGATGGACATTGGGTGTCGACACGTTGCGTCGCGTGGCGTAGTAGTATGTTTCCACCTTTAGGTGCTGCGAAAATCGTAGTAACACGTCTCTTGGCGGGTTGGGTGTTGAATACCACCGCACTTTTTTGACGATACTAATTATTTAGGAGTCTCGGGGGACCTTCATTGGAACACCTCCAAGTGAGTTTTGCTGCGGAAACGCGTCTAAATATATTTACAAAAATTTAAAGTTTTGTGTAATATATTGAAATTTCTAAACAATCCGCCATTTTCTACTTTTCTATTGGATAACAAAGAGATGTGACGTTCACTTTAAAAAATCTTTTTTTTTTAATTTATCGACTGTTAATAATCGTATTTTTTTTATTTATCGATTATTTCCTCATTTTTAAAATTTAAAGTTATTGAATAATCAACATTGAAATTAACCTAATTTCGTGTTGATAGATTATAGTGTTCCGAAAATTTAGAAATTATCGATGCCTACTCGTCTGTATTTGAAATTTTCATTGTTTGCAACTTTCTGTATTATTTAATTTTTACTAGAATAAAGTGTTTACTTTAATATCCAAAAAGTACCCAAAACCGAATCAGAGCACCCCACTATCCACGTGGTCTTGTCTGCCTTACCCCTAGAGTGTATATAAATAATCGGAGGCGCGGAGCCGAGCCGAGCCGAGGTTGCGGAGGCTTGAATAAAATGCCTGTGCTTTGGTACGCAAGGGTGGGGTGGGAGGGTGCATTTCCCGTAGCGCCGGAGCTGTCCAAAAAACCAATTATTATCGGTTAGGTTAGGTTAGTATATTAATATTTATTTTTAAAATAACTGTTCAACTGAAACTGATCAACTATGATTGATTTTCAATTATTTTTAATATTAAAATCAAATACAAAAATCGATTTTCACTTTGAAAGAAATCGATTATTTTTCACATCCCTATTAATTTAATAAACGTAAACGGCCATTTTGAATGTGGATTTTGCTAGACTAGTGTGTAAACAGTTTTACAGTGCAAAATTTCCTTTAGAAATCCGTTTCTTTTTTATTTTGACGTGAATGTTTTAGACGCGTTTCCGCAGCAAAACTCACTTGGAGGTGTTCCAATGAAGGTCCCCCGAGACTCTTAAATAATTAGTATCGTCAAAAAAGTGCGGTGGTATTCAACACTGTTACCTTTTTTATTTATGTTTTTAATAGAACAACGTTCTTGTATTCGAATTGGGACTTTACTACGTATTCAATATTTTTTATAAATTTAATTCATATAAAAATAAGATATCCAAGGAAGTTATTTCAAGATAACAAATTAACTAATTGAAGTAATTAGGTCCCGCGAACTTCGTTTCGCCGTAATATGTTTTTTTTAAATACATACTAATCTCGCTGAATAGCGATTATTCGTTGAGAAAGGCATCAGCTCTGGGATCACCTACCAGGCGCCAACTTAAATCTTTAATTAGCTGTGCACTTCAAACTCACAGCCCAAAGCAAAGGGAATAAAATCAAAGTTGGAGTATGATTAATACAATGAGTTCAACTAACAGTATTGAACCGTAGATACCATTCGAATACGTTGGTGTGCGTGTTGGTACACTTACCGACTCTAATAAAAACGACGGGTTGCACTCCAGGAGTGCCGGCAGAAGTGAAAACTTGAATATTAACGTTGTGCATTTTTTATATTTTGGAATGGTTAGGGAATAATTTTGCACGAATTGCTCTAATTATCAGTATAAAAGTACTATCATTTATGTGGTAGAATACAATATTTATTTATTGCGCTATCGTACACAAACATGATAATTTATATTACATCTAATACGCCGCGCCAGCTGTCTACTCTCCATCCGTCGTCAGTCTGACCAAATCGTTAATAATAAAGCTTTAAGGCGGAAACATACTACTAAAACGCGACGCGACGTGTCGTGTCGACACCCGATGTCCATCGTGCAAATTACCAACACACGACACCACGACATGCTTGCAAATTCAGAAGTCATTTAGCTGACAATAGTGAAGGTCAAATTAGCTTACTGTCCTATGGATTTTATGAATAACGAGTCAGATGAATATTTTGATGAAGATTTGATGCACATTTGCTTGCTTTCAAAATTTATTTTTCATTGATGTGTGACGTGGCCATGGATCTGTTTGAAGACGAGTTGGATGATGATTTTGAAGAAGATTTATTGCAGATTTGGGGATATATTTTGTACAAAAACAGTTAAATAAAAAAAGGCGTAGACGACGAAGACGATACCTACTGGGTTCATGAAATAAATCAAGACAGAGCTATGCATGGTGAATATCATACCCTTTACAAAAAATTGCTGAAAGATAGTGATAGATATCATTTATATTTTCGGATGAATGAAACTCAATTTGAAGTTTTACATGACCTTATTATTAAAATGACATCTACAAGAAAGGGACAAGTTACCGTGAAGCTATAAGCACAAAAGAAAGACTGGCAGTGGCTCTCAGGTAAGTACCTACAAAACATTTAATTATTACTATAATTAAAATAATATTCTATCAGACTTGTTTCGTCACTTTCGTTTTCCACTTCTTCATAACGTTTTAAATTCCCAATAACATCTCGATGATTCCTTTCATAAATTTGGGTATCATTATTCTTATAATTATATTTTTTTTTTGTTACAGATTTTTAGCCACAGGGAATTCATTTACATCATTGGCATTTAATTTTCGAATGGGATTCAGCACCGTGCGAGAAATTGTACGCGATGTCTGCGAAACAATTTGGAATAAATTGAGCCCAATGTACATGCCAGAACCTACACCGTTGATGTGGGAAAAATCTGAAGAGGGATTTAGAAGTTACTGGAATTTTCCTAATTGCTGTGGTGCATTGGACGGAAAACATGTAAATATCACTTGTCCAATAAACGGTGGTTCAGATTTTTGGAATTATAAAGGTGAAAATTCAATAGTGCTGCTGGCATTAGTGGATCCTAAATAAAAGTTCTTGGTTAATGATGTAGGCTCATATGGAAAAAACAGTGACGGTGGAATATTCAATAAATCTGCACTTGGAGAGTGCGGCTGTATAGTAAAAATGATGTTCGCAACAATGAGCCTAATAAAATATACAACTACCGGCTAAGCCATGCTAGGCGTATCTTTGAAAATTCTTTCGCCATTTTAAGAGCAAGATGGCGCGTTTTCGCCAAACCTATGGAAGTACAACCTAATATGGTTGACAAAATTATTTTAGCAACATGTTGCTTACACAATTATTTAGGTACTGATAATTTGCCATCAGACTGTCTAACACAAGATAATGTGACGCCGCTGGGGCCTTGGACAGCTTTGGAGGACTTGGACACTCTGCGCAGAAATTGTGGTCTCCAGAACATCTTTGCGGCGCATTTTGGTGAAAGATCTGAAATTGGACTCGTATAAAGTTCAAGTTGTGCAGGAATTAAAGCCAAATGACCCAATTTTACGTCGAAATTTTGTTGTAACAATGTTGGAACGCTTTCGGAGTTTAAACAATATTCTGTTCTCCGACGAAGCCCATTTTCATTTAAATGGGCATGTCAATAAACAGAATTGCCGTTACTGGGCTGCAGATAACCCACGTGCCAAACATGAAAAGCCTCTGCATTCGCCGAAAGTAACCATTTGGGCGGCCATATCAGCACACGGAATTATCGGACCCTATTTCTTTGAAAATCAACAAGGGCAATCTGTCACTGTAAATTCAGCTTGGTCCGTTTTAGGTAACTTTTTTAGTTGCTTACTCATTGTTAAAAAGAATAAGTCATTGTCATCCTTAGGTATCTGATACTGCTCTCTTCTGCCTCATTTCCTGTGTTTTTTTTTCAGTAGGTACATTAACCATTTCTTTTAATACATTATTGTCGTTATCATTTTTGTCTATACGTCTCGTGGTAAAACTTGCACTAGAATTTTGAGTAGATGCTCTTGCAATAGATGGCCTTAAAGGGGAGGTCCCTGGAGTGGGAGAACGAATGGTAGGAGGAAGTGAAACCGCAGATTCTTCAGAAAATTGATATTCGAAATCTTGTGTCGAATCGCCATCATTTGATTTACTTAAATTTGTAACTGTAGATCTCCCTTCGACATATGGGAGCAGAAACCCCATTTGCTTTTCAAATTTCCAAGGAACTGCTTTAGCTGCTGTTTGTCCACTTTTCTTGCGGCGTCTTTTTAAGGCATTGGTGAAGCAGTTTCTTAATTTGCTCCACTTATTTTTTACTTCTTCAACTGGAAAAAAAGATGATTTAATTGTTACAGGTTTTTAGCTACAGTTTATTAAGAATATTGGGATTCATCTATCGCATGGGATTCAGTACTGTACGACGAATAGTACAAGACGTTCAAGATGGCGTGTTTTTGCTGGTCCTATGTCAGTTCAACGTCTTACGTCAAGTTCAAGTTCTTACGTCATCCCGAATAGTGCTTTATGTAACCTATGATCCTAAACCCTGTGCCGATAACTCCAACTTGTAGGAAAATGTCATTTTATACCGTACTAAGTTTACAAAATTAATTTTTCGCACTAGTTCAACTGATCGTCCTGAAAAAAAAAATGTACTACTCCAGTTTGGCAAGCAGCTTTAAAAGTTTGCGCATTTAATAAGGATTCTAACGTGGTGTAACACTTACTTCATTATTTCTTAGATCGGCCATTAAAAAAAATTTTGTTAAACAAAGTCTGTTTTTAAAAAATTCTCTGGAATTACAAAAAACGATTCTAGTGTACCTAAAGCGTTCCTAATAACCACAGCGTGGTTTAAATAAGATGGCGTAAAGTGTGAGCGAGACAGATTGTGACGCTACTTATTGCTATTGACACACGCACTACAGGTCAGTACGCAACACTCCTTCGTTTACTACGCATCTTTTCGTATTCGCTGGTGTTATTTTGTGTTCTAACTACTTTGGCTTCGTTTACGGACTTGTTTGCTTGTGATTTGGATTTTACATTTGTGATCTACGACGACCTTTACTTTTCCCTGGACTTACGTGTTATTGTGTATTTGTACCATACCATGGCTACGTACACTACGTGCACCTCATTTATGGGGAATGTTTATGTAATGCCAGTGAAGCCGCTAGACGGTATCGCGAGAGATACCCAAATGCAGATCGCTATCCGGATCACAGAGTTTTTACCAATGTGCACCGTCTACTGTTCTCCGAGGGCCGACTGCCAAACCAAGTGCACGGTGAAGGTAGAATTTCACTACCCTACGAGGCAGTTGTCCTTCAAGCAGTTGATGAGGACCCAAGTTGTTCGGTACGTGGAATTGAGACCAGCACAGGTGTGCCCAAAAGTACAGCTCACCGAATACTACAAAAAAATGAGTTCCATCCATTTCATGTACATCGAGTACAATCCTTATTACCTCGAGATTATGAACCTCGGGTTGCTTTTTGCCAAACAATAATTCAAAAACACCGAGAAGACCCACAATTCTTAGAAAAAATTGTATGGTCGGATGAATCACTTTTTAAAAAGACGGCTACATGAACCAACACAATCTGCACGAGTGGCACGTCGAAAATCCACGATTGATGACCAGACAGATCACAGTACCGTTTCAAAGTTAACATGTGGACTGGAATTTTGAACGGAAAAGTCATAGGGCCTACTGCTACCAGAAGTTTTAAATGCTGAAATTTATTTAGATTTCTTACAAAATCATTTGCCCAATTTGCTGGAGGACGTGCCGCTTACTATTTTACGAGATATGTGGTTCCAGCAAGGTGGTTGTCCAGCGCATTACAGCCGCTTAGTTCGAAACCACCTTAACGAGGAGTATCCAGACAGATGGATAGGGCGGGGTGGTACAATCTCGTGGCCCGCCCGCTCACCCGATTTAAATCCTCTTGATTTTTTTTACTGGGGAGCAGGAAAGGAAAAAGTCTATTCCAAGTCGATGCAAAATGTAGAAGAGCTTAGACAGAGAATAGCGGAAGCAGTAGAATTTGTGAATAATGGACGATTTGCCCGCTTCATTTCACGATCTTTTTTAAGGAGATGTCGAGCCTGTATTGCAGCTGAAGGACGGCAATTTGAACATCTTTTATAAAAAAAGTAATAAATCTAATCATAAAAAAGAAACTGTCTATTTTACTTATTTGCGTCCGTATGTCATAAGCGTCATCTGTCTCGCTCACATTTTATGGAATGTCTCTCTCCATCTTATTTAAACCACGCTGTGGTCATTAGGAACGTTTTGGGTGCGCTAGAATCATATGTTATAATTTCAAAGAGATTGTTAAAAACAGACTTTGTTTAACAAAAAATAATCGACTCAGTGTCGATCTAAAAAATAATGGACTCAGTGTTATACCACTGTAGAATCCTTATTAAATGCGCTAACTTTTAAAGCTACTTGCCAAACTGGAGTAATACATTTTTTTTTCAGGACGATCAGTTGAAGTAGTGCGAAAATTAATTTTGAAAAATTTGGTACGGTATAAAATGACATTTTCCTAAAAGTTGGAGTGATCAGCACAGTGTTTAGGATCATAGGTTACATAAAACACTATTCGGGATGACGTAAGAGATTTTTCTCTTGGCAAAAAGTAAATATTTGTAACAACAGGAATGAAAAAACTGTCACATGGTTTGCATTTTCTGGAATAACAAAAAAATATCCATAACTTCAAAAATACATGACTTATTTTATTTTTTTTAATTTTTCTGATAACTGGTGTGGCATTGAGAAAATTTCGACTTGACGTCGACTTTTGGGACACCCTGTATGAATCTGTTACCCAGTGTAGAAAAATATTTCGCGAAGTCGTTAGAAGATATAGTATGGTTTGGAGGACAATACACAGCGGAGAATGTAGTTTCTAGTTTGCTGTCTACAAGTTTAATAGATGTAGCTTGTATTTTTTCTGTTCGATATTCCTCTATTGGGTAGTGTTTAATATTGTTTTTAATAATTACTGCTGTTCCTCCATGGCTGTTCCCAGGTGGATGATTGGTTGTGTAAACTGTATAATTATTAGAGGAAAGTGACCAAATATGGGATAGTATCCCTAATATGGAATACCCCTATTTCTCTCAAATGCAAACTCACATACGCAATAAACAATTATTTTCTGTCTCTTTCTACTCCCGTTTACGCATACAAGTTGTAGCATGTCAGTCGAGCAAGTGCATTCGTCGTTGTGACAGTTTTTTGTTTTGTCGCTACAACATAACTTTCTAAGGTATGTAAAAAATACGTATTTTTCGTAAAGAAAGTGCAAACAGTATTGATTTTATAGCTTTTAGAGACCGTTTAGACGTTCTTTAGTATGTTTTAGCGGTATTAGATGATATTGCTTTCTTAAATATAAAAATCTGAATGTCAGTTTGAAATCGTTGAAAAATCCAAATATGGACAGATCACAGTACCCAATTATGGACTATTCCATAATTGGTTCTCTGAAGTATCAGCTGACATGATGATTTTGTTAATTCTATATTTTTTTCATGTTTTATCAGAATGGCGTGCGTCAACTCGAAAACAAAACGAAAATAATGGATTCAGAGCATATGGCGGAAACAATAGAATTAGTAAGAGAGAAAAAAATGGGTTATTTAAGAGCTGGAAAATACTTTAATGTGCCCAGCTGGAAAATACTTTGTTTCGATTATGTCAGAAAAACGAATTTTCTCCAGAAGAAGCCCCAGCTACTACACTTAGAAAGAAAACTGTCGTGTTGGTAAAAAATAAGAATTAAAAACAGAATGAGAAAATATCATAAGGAAAAAAACCAAAAGAGAAGACTAAGGCTAATTCAGATGATGAGGAGGTGATGATATTTGATACAGACAGTGAACCCGATGCCTTGATAGGATATACAGCTCCAGACTCTGAAGATTCGGAGTGTATATTCTGTGGTGGGCTGTTTTCGAATGATACTCATGGTGAAACATGGATCAATCTTATGTGTGGACTCTGGGCATGTAATGATTGCGCTGGGCCAGAGTTTGATACCTGGATTTGTGATTTTTGTAAATAATTTGTGTACATTTCTATATTATACCAAGTTTCCAAAGAGTCTCTCGTAAGTTAAGGTTAATTTTTGATAGTGTTTATAGTATTCCATATTTGGGGTACCTATTCCATATATAGGTACCTAAATCGTTATTTAGTTTCTTAAATTTTTTCTTACTTTAAACTAATCAATAAAACCTAAACTTATTACAAACTTAAGTGCAAATATATTGTTGTTAATAATTACCACAAACAGTTTTTTATTTATAATACATGTGGAAATTATGCCTAAAAATCAAAATGGTATTCCATATTTGGTCACTTTCCTCTAAAGTTTATGTGTGTTTTCGGTGTGAATCTTGTTTCAGAGATTAGTGCTATGTCAATCATTTCTGTTCTAATTCTTGACGTCTTTCGGTCAAGTCGTTGGCGTTCCAAGTTACTACTTGGAGGTTTCGGGTCATTTTTCACCAGGCTGCTGACTAGCTGGACCATGCGGTCCATCATTTTGTCCATGAGTTTTTCCGTCATTGTCACCATTGAATGTTGTAGTTTTTCAAACATTATGTCCATTAAATCAGAAAAGTCGCCCAAGTCGTTCTTTGTGTCTTGCTGAGTATCTTGTTCTTTGGTTTTTGTTGCTTCTGAATAAGTTTTGGTTAAGCTTTGATTGTCTGTCCGGTTAGTCTTAGTACCCAGGCGGGGATCCGGGTTTTTGGTCTCTTTATTGTTAGGCATTGGTTTTTCTTTTGACTTAGGATCTAATTTAAGAATTCTTTCTCTATACCGTTTGTACACTTTGCATCCTTTGTAGCTAGCGGGGTGTTTTTCATCACAGTTCGCGCAAGTAGCCTCAGTGTCTGGTTTTTTTTTACATGTTGTTGTGGGGTGAGCGCTACCGCATTTAACACGGCGATAGGGCCTAAAACATTGGTTCTTGGAATGCCCAAATCTCTGACATCTCTTGCACTGAATGATTTCCTTTTTCTTATATGGGGCTTCAAAAGTAATCTTCATGTTATTAAAGTATTTCACATCGAAAATGGCTTTGTTGTTTGGCTTTGGTTCTAACTTGACATAAAATACAGGCAACGGTTCCTTTGTAACACGATGTCTGATATTGACTATTTGTCTCACTTCATGTCCAATTTCATACAATTCTTTTGAAATTTCTGTGGTATTTTCTGATGCATGGAGTCCGCGTAGTACTATTCTGTATGCTCTCTCGCTTTTAAGCTGGTAAGTATAGTGTGAGATATTATTGGCAATGAAGTTCTCTCGGAACATTTTGTATGTCTGGATGTCTTTAGGTATAATTTTTATAACGTGTCCAGATCTAAGTGTGGTCATGATGTAAAGTTCGTTCTTTATAAATTTGTTAAGTACATCTTTAAGGGAGTTAACGTTAATTACGCCAGTAACAAAGATGGGTTCTGGCTTTGGTACATACACTTTATCTGTATTGCTGGTTCTATCCGTAGGCTCCGTATCAAGTAGTTCAAAACTATTGCGTGTAGGGAACACAAAGTCTGGGGGTCCTTGTATTGAGGTAATCTCATGTCATATAAAACAGAATATTGTTTCACCAACTCAATTAATTGTTCGTCGTTCATTTCGCCAAATAAATCCAAAAATATCTATGTATATAAATTGACATTCTTGTCAAAAACTCGAAAGACTGACGCATGGCGTCATCATCACAACATCCACAACACGCCGATCCAAATCGATTGGATGTTACCGCGTGTGATCACATGGCGTGTTGTCTATGTGCATCTGACCATATTAAATATATGGGATTGATAAGTACTGACATGCGTCGGATGGCGTGGTGTAGCGTCGCGTTTTGGTAGTATGTTTCCGCCTTTAGACGTTTCGCAAAATTAAACCTTGATGTATTGACTTAAGGTCCACATGCATCAATGTATCTGAGGAAAGAGACAAATGAATTAAAACCGTAACTATATAGCACGAAGGTTCATAATCCTTTAAAAAAACATCCGTCTTACGAATTAGTCCTGACGCGAGTTAAACATTTTTTAACCATTCCAAAAAAAGTGTACTGTGTACAACGCCGCTAAAGAAGTTTTCACTACAAAATTTTTTAATAAATTGTTTGTGTCGCTGCCGTTTTTCTTCTTGGTTTTTCGAAAATATAGTTCAAAAATACGTTTTACGGTAGAAACAACTGTTTTTTGCCCTGGATTAGAAAACTATTAATAAAAAGTCATCGTTCATGTATTTCGTCTTGGTTTTTCGAAAATATTGTTAAAAATGCGTTTTACAGTAGGAACAACAGTTAATTTGCTTTGCCATGATTCATGAATCGTTTCATGGGATTACAGCGCGCGTTTTGCGTGAGGGAGTTGTATAAAACATTAAAATGTGTCTTGTAGAGACATTTAAAAAGCTTAAGACATGTGTCAAGTCCCAATTTATATAAGCATTGGGTGTGCAAGTTTGAAGAGACTGGGAATACAATACCGGACAAATCGTATGGGCGTAAAAGGACATCAAGAACGAGCATGAATGTCGATTGCGTTCGGGAGTCTGGTATGGACGACCCACGACAGTCATTGAGATTGCGTTTTCTTTACGATTGAAATACGATTTTCACCCGAATAAAATTGTTATTGTTCAAGAAATGAAGCCTGTTGATCCTATATGATAAACGAGTCGAATTCTGCAGGACAATGAAAACCCGTTTTAGGAGTTTCAATAACATCTTGTTCTCCGACGAATCGAATTTTCACATCAACGGTCATGTGAATAAACAAAATTGCAGATACTGGGCTTCCAAGAATCCGTTAGAACTTCATCAGAAGCCCTTGCACTCGCCAAAAGTTGTTGTTTGGGCTGCCATATCAAGTCAAGGAATTATCGGTCCTTATTTTTTTGTGGATGACCGAGGTCGAACTCAGACCGTTCATTCTGACCGATATTGCCATATGATCCGAACTATTTTGGCTACAGAAATGCAAAACCAGAAGGGCTACAACCGCAATAAATTTTTCCAGCAGCGTGGAGCCACTTCTCATGTTACAAATGACTCATTAGCTGGTCTTCACAATTTATTCCCTGGAAGAGTGATAAGGCGCCGAGGAGACATCAATTTGCCACTAAGGAGCCCTGATTTAATGTCTACCTATTCTTTTTTTTTCTATGGGGCTACCTAAAAAGCAAAGTTTACAATCCATTCCCACCCAACCAGAATGTTTTGAAGCAAATAATCACTGAAGAAATCAACTCTATTCGAAGAGCGATGCTCCAGCGAGTTATTGAACATTTTAGCTCCAGGTTAAATTAGTGTGAACAAATGAATGGTGCGCATTTGCAAACGGTTGTTTTTCATAAATAAACTTCGAGAATTGCTCTTTAAATTGACATTAAATAAACCGAGAATTAATTGATATTTTGTTTTTTATATATACTTGACTTATATTGACTATTTTTACTCTTGACGATGGGATTGTAAAATGAAAACAGATACACCCTAAAGATCTTTAATTTTTTTACTTTTAGCTGTTTAAATGTTTTTATAATGTCATTGCAGCTAATGCGGCTAAATACATATAAAGGAATGTTAGTAAGAAACTCTTCAAATTCAGAGGCTACTTCGAGGTCGGAACTAATTACTTTGCCGTTTATGTTCATTTTAAATTCAGTATCCTTTCTGGAGGTTCTTCCAGTCTCCTCGTTTATAATTTTCCAAGTAGCCTTTATCTTATCAGAGCTGTTGTTTATTTTAAGACTTAAGTGTTTCGCCTTAGCGATTCTACACTCTTGCCTAAAACTTTTTGAGAATATCCTAACATAAGTTTTAAATTCTTCACTGTCATTATAATGTTTTTAATCATAAAACTCATACAATTTTAGCCTTTTTTTGTGTAGCTCCGGAGTTGCCCAGTCACAAAAGGTAGGTTTCTCCGAGACCAAAAAAGTCTTTGGAGTGAACACATTTTTGAATTCACCAATAAATGAATCAAAGAATGTGCTATATAAATTATTAGGGCATTGGTTACTACGCAAAAATGGCATTTTAAATATCAAATTTTTCCTAAATCTGTCTAACCGATCCTCTGTTATAGGAATTGTGCATATTTTCTTTTTTTGATCTTTACATTTTAGTATTTGAAATTCAAACAATTGACCAGAGTGGTCAGATGTAAGTTTGTTGATAATACAGGCGTTGAGAGGAACTATACACTATATATTACACTATATATGACAATATATATTACTATAGATATTGTCAATACATGTTGCCGTGGTGGCTGTTACCCTAGTAGGTAAATTACGAAGGCCACAGCCGAAGGTTTCAAAAAAAACAAATGTTTTAAACTAATTTATTTAAAAATATAATTACAATTTAAACTATAATTAAAATACGGCTAAACAACCCGAAGTAAGGAAATTGAATGCACATAAAATATAGAAATAATAAGGCTTGAAGAGGCACCAATTGCTGACACTATGCAACGTGAGGCTCGTGTAACTCGTGTAAGTTGCGACATACGAATTCCGCTGACACCATGTAACGTTAGGGACGTGTTATTCTTTATATATTGCGAAATGCAGATTCCATGGTATAGGGCTACGTAACAGGTACAATAAATGTATTAATTAAATTATATGATTTAAACAGATTAAGCAAACGTTTACTTGAACTACAGTTGTCAAGCAAATTTACATTAAAGTCTCCACTAACGATCAATATTTTCTTGGATTTTTGCAATTTGTACAGAACCTGCTCCAATATTTTTTCTAAGCTATCATATTGAGCTGAAGGAGGGCTATACAAACTAACAATGATAAATTGCTCCAGCTCCACACAAGATACTTCTATAAGGCGTTCCACAGAGAGGCTCACTATGTCCTTCCTTTCTTTAAATTTTATTTTTTTACTAAGCAATATTAATGAGCCACCGTGTATTGCATTTCCTCTGCAGAACGAACTACCAATCTGATGATTACAAAAATTGAACATATGGGATGGGAGACTTACCGAGTTTTCGGGTAAAACCAGCTCGGCCATTCTTTAACTCCGGTGTCGACTTTGCGGGACAAATTCAAATTTTAATAAAAAAGGGCAGAGGCGCCCAAACTGGCAAGGCGTACATAGCCAATTTTGTATGTATATCCACGAAGGCGATCCACTTGGAGTTGGTTGGTGATCTGACTTCAGCTGCATTCATTGGTGCCTTTAAACGATTTTGCGCACGAAGAGGCAGATGTACAAATATGTGGAGTGATCAGGGAAGAAACTTTATTGGTGCTAACAAAGATCTGGTTGAAGCCTGGAAGGAAGCTCGCCTACAATTTGATGGTGAAATTAGTGAATTACTTGCTAATGATGGAACACAATGGCACTTTATCCCGGCCTACTCCCCAAATTTTGGAAATTTATGGGAGACGGGTGTGAAGTCTATTAAGCACCATCTACATAGAATCCTTAATACTAACCTTACCTATGAAGAACTTACGACGGTTCTCTGTGGAATTGAGGCGTGCTTGAACTCAAGACCGCTTTGCCCGCAGGAAGACAGCACGTTGGAACCATTAACTCCGGGCCATTTTTTAATAACTGAAGCTCCTGTAACCGTGCCTGATGTGAACCTGAAAGACGCTAAAATAAGCAACCTGACACGTTGGCAATACACGCAAAAACTGCTGAACGACTTCTGGTCAAGATGGCAAAAAGAATACTTGACGCAACAAAGACCGAAATGGTTAAAACGCGCAGACGAATTCAAAATAGGAGACATTGTCCTCATAAAACAGGACAATTTGCCACCAGGAAAGTGGCATATGGGACGAATATATGACAAGCATCCTGGCCCTGACGGTCTTACCAGAGTCTATAGTGTAAAGAGTGGTGATCATATAGCAAAGCGATGCGTAACCAAACTATGTCCATTGCCCATCGAAATAGATTAGTGCTATATAGTTGTTAAAATTTATGATTGTACTATTCTTGATTGTATAAATTCTTATGACCGCACCATATACCGATACCTTAATAATTGTTGTAGAAACCACCACCACACAATAATTGTTGCACCTATAAGTTTTGTTGATTTCACTTATTTTGAAAGGACTTCAGTAGTCCTTTGGTGGGCGGCTTATGGTGATTCTGTTTTGCGATTTTAAACCTAAAATGTAGTCTCAATTATTTTTACGATTAAATTTAGTTGCCAATATACATTTACGAAGTAAAGACGTGTTTCTCTATATGATCCGCCGGCACGATCCAAACTAGACCTTACGACCTCACCACACTGTTTTTGTGATAAACCACTTCGAAAGTCATAATAAATCATCGCTCTTGAATTTTCTCGAGTCAATTCCATTTTCTCAACGACTAAACAAGTTTGACAAAACTTTGTAAAAAGACCGAGAATCTTTTTAAAAAAAAAATGGTATTCGGTTTAAAAAAAAGGGGTTTTCAATTAAAAAGATTTAAATATGACAGGAACAGTGGTATTATTCCATTCCCGATACTTATAGTGCAGCCTATGTATTATATTACATAATTTGGAAGGCGATGTTGTAAAGAAAACCGACCACAGACAAAATTGCTGTTTATTTTTAGTTAGTTATTACTCAGTCGGGAGTCAGTTCGATTTTTTTTAAACAAATTGAAGAAAACGAAATGAGTTTTATCAAATTCAATTATGTTTATAATTCAGAAATTCGAGAAATAAAAAGTGTTAGCTAACATCTTTAATGTTTTATTTCAAAGAAAATAAGATAAATTACTACTTCAACATTTAATTTTTGGTTTGATGTTTACTTCTATTATGGTATAATGATTTCTGAATCCAATTTAATAGTACATTTGTTATGAAATGTTAATTATGGCCAAATGGTGAGAAATAAAACAAAAGTCGAAAATTTAGAAACAAATCAACTTTATTACCAAGATGAAAAAAGATCAAATGATATAATACATAAGCTAAACAGATATGTGTACTGCGGTAATCCAAAACAACTACGCTTATGCAACATAACGTCACTATACATAATAATATACAATATAATTATTCATAAACCAACGAAACTAGAACCATGTAAAATTTTAATTACACTGTGAATTTCGCGCAGCGCTTCCTCTATCATCGTAATTGTCTTTATTTAGATTTAATTAAACGGTAAAACATCTCACTAGCACAGTAATATTTACAAGGCCCGGAGGCGGCAGTCTTCACTGTATAAAACTATCACTCGCGACATGGCACACATGGGGCGGCGGCGGAGGGGCCGCCGGGGCATCCGCACGACCACTAGTCGCCGGGGTGCTCGGGGCACGATCTGTTCACTTCGAACCATTGGTCTATACATCTGGAAACGAACAATGGAATGAATATTCCAGCAAAGCTTTCGTGAGTATAGCCTTAGAAATGAAACATGTGATTACATACCCCTTGTGGTAAATACAGAGACAGGGCAAGCGGGCGATGGTGTCGCCGGCGCAGAGCTCTTCCAGGCAAATTACGCACTCGCCCTTTGAGTCACTCAGGACATCCTCTGAAACATTATATTTACCTCATCATATTCTGATATTGCTATTAATAATAATTTCACTCGTGTTTTATAGAACAACTGGTTCGTTTATGTTACTTATATAGTAACACACTATTTTAACGAGTTTTCAGACTAATAATTATATTTTTATGGGAAAGTTTACATACCATTATAAGAGAGACGAGGCCTGGTGAGACACATGACGAGATGACATTCGATGTCGTCCGGCAGCACGAATTTGCTGCATACTGGACATTTGATTCCTGTAAATGCAACAATTGATAACATTAGAACCACATCATTCCATCGATTGTGTTGCATGTAGCAACACAATTTTTCCTCCGTGATATCGTGATAATATTGAGACAAATTTATTAAAACTCTGTTGTTTAACAATAAAGATTCTCCATGTCGAATATTTCTCTTGTGCTCTCTGTAGAGCTTATTGCAGTTAGTAAAGGTATGAGTATTATATATGTATACGATATGTCATTTGATAACAAACATAACGTGCCGACCGGTGTAGATATTAGACAGCGCCTCGATTGCAGACTCTTGGTACACATTGTGTTAATTCGACAAGATCAAAAACCACCTGTATTATATTTTCGTAGTATATTTCAATATGTTTTATCAGTATCAGTAAATTCACTTTCGGCAATGTTAATGTCCAACTAACATATACATACATATAGCATTATAATCCATTACAATATTGATACCATTAAAATATTCATTCTATTCATACCATTCATTAAAACAGCCTTAATATTCAAAATGTTTAAATTCAATTCAATTCAAAATCATTTATTCATATGAATTTTATAAAATTAAAAAAATAAATATATTATACGAAATGCTTCTATTTTTACATTTACTGTCAGTTCTTTAGAGTAATATTATTATACATAGTTGCATTGTGTTAAGGTAAATTTCTGTTTTTGGAAAATGAAAAGAGCCTTTTCAGTTTACTCGTTGCAATGTTTCAGTTACAACTACATATTTAAAAGAAAATGTATACGATTATTGCCAATAAATTAATTATTTGAAGTATTGCTATTATCTTTAATAATCTAATAATAAACTAAGGACTACCATCGTATATTGTAGACACATAGCAAAATGTATCAACAGTATAAATAATGCACTGTTCCAAACAGACTTTTCCATATCCTGTCGAGGGCGGTTTCCGTTTACCCAGCGTGGCTCACAGTGGGCGGGGAGCTATGCGAACCGGATCACTTAGCACACAACGACAATTTCCCGAGGTAACATATACAAATATCCGGAATATATCTTTGTGATTGACATTGTTTTATGGTCTCGACTCTCGAATAAATGTAGTGTGCTTGGTGGTATTTGTACAATAGGATATCGAATATACACGACTACGAATATGTACTTACGAAATATAACATAATTCGTTTATTGCCTGAATTTCATGTGTAAGTCAACGCGATAAGAGTTTATACTATGTTTTTACAGCATATGCCAGAGTGGTATTTTAGACGAATTCATTCTATAATCCTTCAAGTGTATGATGCTTTTGGCACTAGCGTTTCTATCACTGATATCCAATAGCGCTGCCGTGGTAGACTGCAGAGCGGCGTGTCGTCGCTGCAGAGAAAAGACGGATTTGCCGGAGATGGTGGAGGTCTATTGCGCCATGTGTACCGAGTGTAAAGAGAGAAGGATAGAACGGATTCAAGCAGCGAGTGCGATGACTACCAAGGACGACTGCTATCCCTTGCAAGGTAACTTCGGGAAGCTTTTGAACTGTCTTAAATAAACGCTGATAATAATTAATAATTTACAAGTTTGAAAGTAATACGAAATGAAATGTTTCTGTAATGATTTTAATGAATCAAAAAATCTTTAATGATTTTTTAGAAATAGCCGACTGTCCCGAGCCGTCTTGCGAAGATTTGGAACAGACGAAAAAGTTACCATTGAAAAAAATCGTGACCTCAACAACGAGCACAACCACGACTCGTCGACCGTGCCCCACCACACCCTGCAAGAAGCCCCCACCGTGTTACTGTATGCCCTTCATGCCGCAGACTCTGTGCCCTTGCCCGATTCAGAGCCAAGTGACCACGGAAACAATTAATCAGAAGCTGGTGTTACCAGAGAACGAAAAAGATTATACCTATTTGTACGTTGGGGTACCGAAAGACCTTTTAAACGAAAATTAGACGACTTTGTGATCATTTCGACCCATTAGCTAAATAACTCACTTAACTTTCATAGCGTTCTTCCCACTCTCAGTTTTTTTCTATTAATATAACTGATATCGGTAGGTACTCAAACGAAGTGTTATCGCCCAAATAATAATTATTACAAGCATAGTAAAATATTAAAATCAATTGAAGACGTGATAATATCCAATATCGAGAGAACGCGACGTGAACGTGCTCGTCCCCTGAACGTGATATTTACGTGCTTCTCGCGGAAAGTAAGGCTAAGTGGCGTGAGTGGCTGTTCGCGTTTATCAAAATGTTAAATTTAAATAACCTTGCCATTTTCCGAGGTTTCCGAGTGCAAGTGGTAAAGGTATTTTGCCTAATAAGGTCTAGAAACTAATTCTGTTCATGTATTCGAGGACTTTATAAAAATATGCATAAAAGAAACATTAGCGGCTGATATTTCAAATTGCGATATAAATTAACTGAAATACGAACTTAAGATTAAATGTATTATTGATTTGTGAACCGTAGTCGTATACCTGTAACGATCAACAAGTAGTCGCGTCTCGTTCCTAAACCAACCCTTATTGTATATTTTGGTATTCGGCTCCTTGGTTACACACAGATACAGTCCTGTCACACATTGAAGCTTACATTGTTGCCAATTTCAGTGATTATTTTTTTGAAGAGTTATACAATAATTATATTTTTTCTTGGTATTCGATTAGATAAACATTAAATAAAAAAATGTCTTACAAAGCATAGATTTATAATGAAATTAAAATTCTGCGATACAAGGCGGTAGGTAATAAGCGCCCAGAGGTCGGTCGTAATAGGTCTGTATGACGATATTCGCTACGTGATCAGCAAATAAACTACATCTACACCTGAGAGCTTTGTATGGTCAGTGGCCTCAGTTAGAACGACATTCCTTAAGTAATAACTTGAAACCTAGTCATATCTAATATAGTACGAAACGATAATATTATTTCATTTTATGAGGCTAGATCAGATCAATGCGGCATAAAAGTCGTTTATCACGCTTATAAAAAGTGATGCCAAAACTGCAACTCTTCTAAAAGAAAACTCTAAAAGCAACTCCTGTTACTAGTTTCATTTCACGTAAAGTTAATCAACAAGTATTCCACAACTAAATTTTAAAATTAACACATCGTACCGAACCTTGCCATCAACAATGAATGAGAATGATTACTGGTCTGTTATTGATATTTAAGCACACTTGATATTTCTAAATATTTATTTCACATTGTTTAAAAATGACAAGGATTTTTTTTTGTCATTCTCATAAACATTTTCTTATGTAAATAATATAAGCACACTTCAGACTATATTTTCATTTATTTACCATAATAAAGTATCCTGCGGGACGGGCGGCGAGACTGAGCGCCGTAGGCCACCTCTGGTTCGGAATCTGGGACACAGGTCCCTATTATGATTCCCATAACTCCACGCTACGTCCGGTTCATCACTCACTATACTCTGATATTTGACATAAATCACAGTTTTTAGTGTTTAATTATTCACCAAAGTCGTTTTTATCGTTTAATAAATTCACAACGCGTTTGCACGTCTAAAAAGGTTCCACTCGCGAATCGTATCAAAAGCTAATCAGGAAATAATTAGCATAACATTTATAGTGATAAATTAAACAAACAGATTTTTCCGTCGACGAGGAGACGCGGTTCGAACTCACAGCGAGGGGTTCAAATGATTCGCGGCCGACTGGTCAAGAGTGACATTGGCGCGTCACCTCTGTATACGTCACAATCGACGTAGGGCAGTAAACAACTTTTCCATTCCTCGTTTCTTACGAAATGGGAAGACAGATCATTAACCAGAATCTTATTTATTTTTACTCTTTTTGCGATATTATGCTTGTTGATGTAATAATCTATCTGTTAACAGCTGCTGTTCGTTTGTTTCGCTTAAATTCGAGAATGGCTGGACCGATTTGGCTAATTGTGATCTTTAAGTATTTCTGGAAGTTACGGGAAGGTTGAATCTATGGGAAACAAAATAATAGGTAAAGAAAAATACTTGAAACGACAATTGAATTTTCCAATAAAAACTGTTCCTAGGTAGAAAATAATTGATGATCGTTTAGAAATAAAAAATTTTCACTTGGTTGTAATAAATATTTATAGATGCCTTCAGAAATTTGTTTTCGATATCTGTTGTATAAGGTGCGTCAATTCTTTAGTCAGGTTTTAAAAAAATATTAAGTTTTGACATAAATAAATGTAGGCGATGGGAAGTTCACCGGATCATCTAGTAATGAATGAAATCCAATTAATATATATTTATATTAAATTAAACCTGCTCCAAAATAAGTCGTCAAAAATAGGCTTTTTAAATACGTATAACATATTTTAATTATGTTTCTTATTATTATATAGCTAGCTATTAGCTAAGTTTTAAGTGACAAATCTAAAAACATGCCATTTATTTGAAGACGTTCAATGGGCATCGCGATTGTCTTGTCTTACACTGACATGATCTCTCTTCTACACCAAATACAAACCTTATCGTCTTCAAAATATAACAAAAGTCTGCTGCATATGCAATGAAATGTAGTTTCCCGTATAAGGAGTATAGTTTAATGAACCTCCTTATTTGTTAGAAAAAATGTTTTCCTTTTATGTGAGTTCCTCCATCTTATCAATATATGCCTTTAATGTTTTGTTAAATTCATCAATAAAGGTAAACAAAAAAATTATAAAGAATTTATTTATAAGCGATGGATTACGCCGACTGCGATTTACGGTGGAAATTTTAACTATCAACACACTGTACTGAGTAATAGATTTTTAAATATTTACCTATACGATCTAGAGATTGATCGTAAAGCGAAAAGATAGACCATTAAGTTAATAAAATAATAATAGGAAAATAATGCGTCCAGACCAAACGACCCATAATCCGTGAGTAATCATATCGATTACCATCAATCATTATGATTAGATAGGGTTTGATTTCCAATATTAAAAATGAAAACGATTAACGAATTGCAAACGTATTATTAATTGATACCTTAGTCTGATTTCATATTTCATTCAATTAATCAAATGAAGCAACATTAAATTTCTAATTAGATTAATTGGCGGAGCGTCTGTGGGCCTTTTCTATTTTTATACTTTCAGTAATTATCGCGCTTCACTTCCATTCATCTAATTTTTTTACAAAGCTGACAGAATTTTCAACTGATAAGTAATACAACCTCGCGTTTTAAGAGCTGTAGGGCCTTAAAAAATTATATTTATTTGCCTTTTTAACCAAACTGAACACTTACTATCCCAGTAACCGCGTATGTTGTACGGCCGAGTCTTGTGCAACGATGCCATTATTCTGTATGAGCGTATAAGCTAATAGATTATTGATTGACCCGTCCGTGTCACCGGGTCACTGCATCTCGTCACTTGTGAACTGTGTTTTATGCACTTCTCAATCGATTTTTCTACAGGTATAAGTGAGTGCATACAGGGGTCGGTGATAGGCAGCTCGAGAGTAAATCGAGAAGGGCAACGTACTCTTATCGTTCATGAGCAAAGACACGGAAAATAAACAATTTTTAAAGATTTGTATCATTACCACAAACGGTTTATCTTTCATCCTTGATCCCAAACAATATTAAAACACGATAACAGTCTCGTTATTAATTAAACTTATTTATTGTTTCACTTTAAACGATAAGTACGGTATTTTAGAAAGGCAATTTTTAAGTCTAGAAAGAAGTTTTGACGTTTAAGTGTGATTCATATTAAGATATTAAAATAATATAACTATTAAACGCTTCCATCCAGAATTTATCGAAACTACACATGTTTATAATATAGAATTTAAATATTTAAGTTCACATCACAACATCTTTACTTTAATTCCATTTCGCTTCTTGGCAACTCATCATATTTTAACGATTCAGGTGTAGATTTTGGAATGATTTCTAAGCCCAAGGAGGACGAATAAGCTTAAATGACAGAAGAACCCGAAGAACGGCCGTTGGGGTAAAAGAGTCCTGGAATGGAGGCCGAGGACGAATTGGCGAAGCGTTGGAGGGCGTTTCCACTAGGTGGACAAATGACCTGATCAGGGTAGAGGGAAGATGTTGGATGCAGAGCGCGGGGCACCGCACGCACTGGAAGTTTAGGGGGGAGGCCTACGTCAACAGGCTGAAAGGAACGAACGAATATATTATCTTATAGTTATTTTCGTTAATTACTATAAGAATATGGCCTTTTAAAATCTTGATGAAAACCATTTACACACATCAAAAGTCTCGCCACATCACAACTCACACAAATATTAGAAATGAGGAGCACATTTATTACGAACAACAAAACAAAAGCGATCATCGCCAACTCTGTGCAAACAAAGGACATTTTCATCGTCAAAGTTTCATCTTCAAGGGATATTAACCTCAAGTGGGAGATGATAAGGTTTACGATTGTGTGAAGTCGTTTCAGCGTCGATATCTCAGCCTCTGTTGTGGAGAACTGATTGCTTCAATCCGGTCACGGTCCTGCAGATGACATTCTGTTATAATCTGTCGGATATTAGATAAATCGCGGTTTTTATACAAGGAGGATAAATTTAATATTCATAAAAAAGCAACTTTCTAATAAAACAATCTAAAATGGGGTCAATTTAATCTGGGCTCTGCTAAATGTCGTAGTGCGTAGTGAGAACAGCAGTGAGTAACCAGTAACTTTGAACCGTCGTTTAAACGCTTAAATCGCTGGTATATTAACCGGAAAATTAACCAGTCGCTGCTGAATTGTAAATAACTAAGGCAGATATCTACTCGATATTGAAAAATCTATCTTAATACTCTGAACATTCCACTATTGTGTTTTAGAGATGAGGTGGGTGACAAAGATTACTCAGCAAAGAATCCAATGTGTATGATTCACAAGTACCACTCGAGGACCCCAAAGTGGTGTGAATTCAGATCATTGAACCTTTCAGGGCTAATCCGCCCATTAAGTTCCCAC